AAGTTATTAAAAAAATACCCATCCGCCGTTTTTTTTCTGAACGGGCATTAGTCTTACCTAGTCCTACTTATGGGCAAAATATCAGATCAAAAGCTTTGAATCACTTCGAACGTATCCCTCGTGAGTAATGATGTATTTCGTTCCTACCTGATGAGTATGGTAAATGGCAACGACAAAAAAAATCATGAACAAGTAGCTGCTACGCAACACAGGGAGACCCTTCTCTGTATATATTTTATAAATTAATTATAGGCTCAAAAATAATTATCATTTTCTCTTCTAAAATAAAAATCAAAGCAAGAACGAGAGGCAATATCGCACAAATAGTGTTTATATGATACAACTATTCTCTCTCCCGCGGCAAAAAGAGAAAATATTGAGAGGCTCTCTAGTGATGTGTTTCGTTACTACCTGATGAGTATAGTAAAGGTGCAACGAGAAAATGATGAGTAAGTAGCTACTACGCAATACAGGGGGACCCCCTTTTTATATCTTGTATAAATTAATTATAGGCCCAAAAATAACTAATGTTTTCTCTTCTAAAGCAAAATCAAAGCAACGACAAGAGATAATATCACACATAGTGTTTACGTGATATAGTTATTCTCTCACCCTCGACAGAAAGAGAAAAGAGAATAGGCACTCTAATGATTTTTTTTCGTTCCTGCTTGATCAGTACTACGGAGTGCAAAAAAAACTGACACCTTGAGATTAAAATATAGCTAAATATATATTTATAATTATAAAAGAACTAAATTATATACCAACAGTAACAAGAGTGAATGTACAATATATACAATATATACACAAACAATTTTACACAATCTAACAATTAAAAAATTAAAATTAAATAATAGTTGTTATTTTCCACCTATGTGAACCTATTTCGCGTGGTAGTGATTTTCTTTACGCTCGAAAACTAAATCATCTCCCCAGATATTATCTTGTTGAGTTATACTTAGGGCGTACCAAAAGTTCGTGTCCCGCTATTTAAAGGGCCTCATCGGATGGGTGAACCGATTCAGAAATAAGAAACAAATATATCATCTTGTAGAGCTTTTCGAGCCGCATCGAATGGTATATAGTAAATCGTGTTTTCATAGAACTTTGAAGAACCTAGAGTCAATTTGCTGATAGATGGCTACACATTCACATCCATCCATATCGGCATCCATACCCGAGGACCATAAGTTAATGATTATTGTGGTTCGTGTTATTAATTGAAAGCATTTGTAAAATATTGCTTCTCGCATGCGACTTTGTAGAGGTTTTGACGGGCTACACCCTCATATACGTACCATCTCCGGTCATCTTGTGAATGTAGACGTGAGTGTGGATGGGTGTGAATGTGTAGTCGTCCATCAGTAAATTGTCTCTAGGTCCTTCAAAGTTCTATGAAAACAGAATTTACTATATACCATTCGATGAGACTCGAAAAGATCTACAAGATGATATATTTGTTTCTTATTTCTGAATCGGTTCACCCATCCGATGAGGCCCATTAAATAGCGGGACACGAACTTTTGGTACGCCCTAAGTATATAGAAAGATGCAGTTTTTGATGGGCTTTCTCCTGATGCTAAAAGATTTTTGGAGAGTGTGGGTGTGGATGTAAGTTAAAGGAATACCCACACCCACGCTCACACCCACATCCGAACGAGGCGGCTACAGCTTGTTTGCGGACAAAATTTCAGCCCTCGCCCACACTGTTGGTCTTCTAATTGTTTTGATTTTTGTCCGCAATTAAGAAGACACGAACGAGGCAACGAAGCGAAAACATAAATTGACGCAGTTTTATTATTGTTGCCATTGATGATTCTTTTTTCTTCTTTCATTCATGTCCGTACAGTGAGTGTCAATGTGAAGATAGAATATGTAAACAAACAGCTACAGAAAAAGAGTAATATGGCATTTTCTTCATTTTTTTCTTTCTTTCGATGTGTTAGCATCTCATTAAGAGTTTTTTCTGTGAATGTGTTGACGAGTTTCAATCAATAGCAATATATTAAAGTCAATTCAGCACTATTGATATGAAATATAATGATAATATAATAGGACTTATGTATATTAAATAAAATTAAATAAAATGACAATGTTCGAAGTTAATTTCCATTAATTATATAATAGTTGGATCGTATATTAATAGAGCTTTCGGGTTCAACCGTCCCATCATCAGTATCAGCATGATGTTGTAGTTGGGTGGGTGTGGGTGTGGGCGTGGTTGTGGGTATGGGTGTGGGTTTGGGTCGGTGTGAGTGTTGGGTGGGGGTGTAGTTTAAAAGAAGATCTACAATCTCACCCACACCCACACCCCATCCACCAACATCATTTTTGACCTGAAGATCCTTTTTCTGCTAGAAATAATCATTTTTGTCACTGATTCAAATGGTTCCGAACTCCCAACCCTTGCAGTGCTTATAGCCTTAATCGACCTCTGACCTTTGACCGTTAACGTCTAACCCGGTACAGAAAGACAGGCACACACATACTGAACATTATATATATAGAGATTTCATTTCGATGTTCTGTTTATTTTTAAAACGATTACATTACATAGAAAGAATTAAAATTCTTTCAAAATATATATCGATTAATAATTGGTTTTTATTGTATTCTTTCAAACTTTTGTATACGGTAGTTATATGTATCTGTGACATATAAATTCATTTCTGAATCAAATGCCACATCGCGTGGATAATATAATTCATTACTACCATTACCGAGTTGTCCAGTACCTGCAATTGTTATACCATACACAGCATAGGGACAAAACATTTGTATTCGATGATTAGCACAATCAGTAATATATAAATTACCATACTTGTCAAGAGTTAGACCTTGATGACTGTTTAATTGAGCTGCACTATTGTTAGGTTTGCCAGGAATACCAGTATATATATTTTTGTTTCCATAAGCCTCAAGAAATCATTGTGTTACTGAATGGGATTCTTCGTTTGATATATATAAGATATTATTTGATTCATCCAAATATAAACCAGTTGGATTATTTAATTGATATGGATTGAGACCTGCACCATTACCACCCTAGAACAACAACAAATGATTTACTATTTAAAGTATAAAAGTATGTACAATGAATAGCCGTATTGGTTTCCCTACTTAATCGTTTCAGCTATTCTTTTTCATTTATAAACTAAGTATAAGACATTTTTCATTCATCATAGTTCAGACTAGGCAAATATCAGATGTGTTTGTTTTGTTGACAACTTTTACATCTTTTTCACGTTATATTGTTTCTTCTTTGAAAATGAATACTATTCCATGTCGCGAAAATCGTCGTGATTTTGGCGGTTTTCAAAAAAATGAACGTAAAATCGTGGTTAAACGTATAATAAGAAAAATTAGCGATAGAATCAGATTATATCGTGATATTGATGAAAGAATCGATTAATCAAAATCGTTGAAAAATACAAATGATTAATCGTGATTAATCTTTATTTTGTTTTTGATACGAGCAAATACTTCCTGAAATAATTAATATTTTAACACATATACACATGAAAATGTATATTAAATATACAAGACTCTTATCTTGGAAGTGTAACTCTCACATGATGAAAGGAAATTTATTTCTACTATTAATGTCACTAGCATAGTACTCACTTGATTGGACAATCGTCATAATGATTAACGTTTCACTAATTTCTTTGTATTCATTTGTATTAGCGTCTATTTTAATCTTATAAATATTCCTTAGCTCTCTTTAACGATGGAGAATGTAATATGACAGCTATTTAAATATTATTAAGTTATATATTAGTCAGTATTGCATAGTTGAGTACCATCAACACTATTATCACTTTATCTCTAATTGCTCTATTTTGTTTTTTTATGATATATTTTTAGATGTTTAAGTTTGGAGTACAGTACATTAGTCGACGCCATTTTTCTAGATATATTATAAAATATGTTTAAACGATTTTATCTTGCAAATAACAATGACGATTGAGAATTAATCAGTATAAACGACATCATCTACACGACAAAGTCTCAACATACAAGCAACAAATGAATCGTTCTAAGGATTATGCCAATGAAAAACTCCTAATCTCATGATATTCTTTTTTTTTCTGACGCGTGCATTTTTTTGTAATAGTTTTTGGTAATTATCGTGTTTTTTATCGTGTATGTTTATATACACATAGACTTACTATTATAGTATTCCTAACCAAATTAGATTACATTTGGCTCAATTAGTATGTCATATATATACTTCGCGAAGTTTACTTATTGGTCGTAACTGTGATCACTTTGTCATCTGTCTTTGACATGTGTTCATTACATTACTTGTAATGTTTTATTTTTGATTTACTTTGTTCTACATGATGAGTGAAATTTGTTAAAAACCTGTAGACATTATATTATAATTTTTATGTCGCTTTTTATCCTTGTTACTTTGTTACATGATATAAACGATTGACATTCTTTGCAATAAAAAAGAACTGAAAAAAAAAGATCCAATCAATCAAGATAAAGTAAAATCGCTGATAAATCGCAATTTTATTAGGTTAGACCTGCGATTACACCACAGTTAACGTTTAAAATAAACGGTGAATAAATCGCGATTTATCGTAATAACCGTTAAAAATATCACAAAAAAACGGCAATTAATCGCGTTTCAACGCGTGATAATCATTTCACTATATTACGATTAATCGCCAATTTTTTAGCAATTTCGAGGACATGGGGTCTCGTTTTGGAGAAAAACTATAGGATAGAATTTCGTTCAACGATGATAAAATCTATAACTTACTGCTATAATTGTACCGATAGATGTTTTTGGATCATATGTAGATGGCCATCTTGTTATACGTTCATTTTGAAAATCGGCAACGATTATATTTTTCTTCGAATCAAGCAAAACTCTAATTGGATAATTAAATTCATTTAATGCTGAACCGGCACTTCCATTCCCAGCAACAGTTTTTCCATGTTTAGCATTTTTCTCCCAAAATTGAATTCGTTGGTTGCCTTCGTCAACAACGAAAACATTCTCATTTTCATCTGCAAAAACATCTCGTGGACCATTTAGTTTGTCTGATGTTGATCCACTGGAAGCATTAGCTTGACCTGCAGCTGTTTTTATTTCACCATTTTGATAGCGTTGCACACGATTATTGGAAACATCAGCAACATATAAAATTTGTGTTTTGGGTTCGATAAATAAACCTTCAGGAAATTCTAATTGATCTGGACCTGAACCATAACCATTCCCAATGATTGTTATTCCTGTTGTACTCCATTTAAGATTACCTGGACCTAGGATTTCAACGAAAATATTTGAATTTATGTCTCCTTCTGTGATATGAGCCAGGTTTTAATATATGAACTGATGCCAACTATAAAATGGCATCATGGATAGTTCAATAAATCTTTCAAATTTTTATTTGCAGTAATCCTGTTAATCTTTTGCTACCATTACTTTTTAAAATTTTCTTAGAGAGAGGCGAATCTAATAAAAGTTTGGCGATGAATATATATATATATATAGACATTAGAAACTAAAGTCGGATGCTAGAAATGTATTTCCAAGGCAGCATGCCCATTGGACTTTACAGAGTCTATTTGAAATGATGTCATTGTCTGAGAAACAGGTGATATGGCACGACCTATGATGTTGATTGAAGTCATGATGAAAGTTTAGAATATTTAGCAATACAGACGTGTAGCAAATTTATGTCCACTTACAGTCGCTGGATTGTTTATACACATATTGACCTGAAACAGAGAAATTAAGTTGTATTTTTAAAAATTTATCATGCACTTGCCATTATTTGTTGCAATTATCCTGAAAAAAAGTACAGTAGAATATTTATTGTATACGTCTAGTAGATCCGACAATTTTCATATTTAAATAATAGAGTATTTTTGGACGAAAACTTTTATTCATAGTTACATTCATGATAAGAGAGATTGAATGTTCGAGTGTCATATTGGATCTATCTCTAAAGTTCATATTTGTCTTTAATACTTACGCAAATAAGCACAAATAGTAATGCAATATCATTCTAATAGCTTCGTTATTCTATAGTTATCCGTACAGCAATGACAAATGTCTGCGTTTCTCACACCTGTTATATCTTTAATTTTTCCTTATCTATGCATCGTCATTTACTAGTAGCATACTTTTAAAACAACAATGACAGTGAGAAAAATGAGCTAACTAGGTTAGCACATTCTAGGCGATGAGTTCCACCGGTGAGACCCACCATATTTTAACAAGAAACTGAACAGAAAAACACTTTCTTTCCCTTTTTTCTTGGGCAGGAGGTTACACGTAACGTATCATCTATGCTGTCTCGCTATTGTTTAAATTATTTATTGCATAGCGTGATGTTTCTCGTTGAAACAATCAAGACAATAAAATTTTTCACAATCAGAACAAAAGATTTTTATTTTCTTTACTGTCGCATTACTTGGTCCTCTTGATTGTTGTTGTCTAATTTTCTAGTAGCAGCCAGCACAACGTCTTCGGACATCGCGGCCAGATCCGTCATTTTGTTCGAGCTTGTGATCAGCAAGTTTGCCTTTCGTTTGGCTTGTTGATTGTTGTCTCAGATCAGGTTAGATTCACGAATGGCACACCAAGGTGTAAAGATCGCACAAGACTTTCACAAAAGGGTGGGTGTGGATGTGTCTGTTAGTATCTCTTCATGAACAGATTCACCCACACCTACACTCACGTCGCGCACCCCACCCACACCCAAAAGATGTATGAAAAAAATGAAGAAAAAAAATTTCAGGAAGATATATAAGTTTGATAAAATGCTTCTCTCACACATAAAAAATTTATAATTTGCGAACATCTCTTCGATAATAAGCTCAGTTATTTCAATTATGGTAAACGCAGTTATTGAGTGTGTAAATTCCTCTCCTACATGTCTTCAGTGATTACAGATACATGAATGCAATCAACGTGATTCCGTTACAAATTATTGAAGAAAGTTTCTTCTTCTGTATTCTCGTTTTCACTCTTCAAATAGATGAATGTTTTCTGACGTTGTGTGACTCGAGTGTCATATTTACTCTGCAATAGTATTGTGCGAAGCGAACGTTGAAAGTATGTTTCATAAAGAAAAAACAGCATTCTCTTACAAAGACCACGCGTGCTCTGTATGTTGTTCTGTGCAAGCACAATACTACAGTGATTTCGGACAAAAAAATATCATGTTTTTTACCAGGTAGTTTCAACATAACATGTGCTTTTTTTAAATATTGAGAGAAAAAAATTATTCAAGGCATATCAATGAAGTAAGTATTGTTAGAAGCTCGACGATTATGATTGATCTGCCAACTAATGGTAGCATTCTAATATGTAAAAAGTTTCTCTCGACATGAGAAAACAAATATTGATGTCAGGGTCTATTATCAGTCAATGATACTTTTATAAACTATGATCATATATTTCATTTATATTTGGTAGAGATCAAAATTAAAAACATATTTACTATTAGTAATTAATTCATTTAAGTTAAACATATGAATATATTATACAGTCTGTTATTTCCACTATGCTCGAAGTAGTTATTCTCGAAAACATATTCCATATAAATTGTTTTCTCAAATTTCTATAGCGATATATGATTAATGTATGTTTGAGTAAATATTTCAATTTAAACAAGCATAATAGGCATATATAAATTACTCTTTTAGACAAATTATAGAATTATCTTTGAATTTTATCTAATAAATCTTCCGATGTATAGTTTCTTAATATAGTTACATCTACAAATATTCTTTTATACGAATTAAACTTCACCGATTAGATCAACCAAGAAAATAACCAAAATATTCGATAACATGTAAATTTAATTACTACTCAACCATGATGAGGTTTCGTTGCTAAAATAAGAAACCGAAGTAATTCATAGATTTCAACAGGACTTCCAGGGTAAAAAAACCCACCACTTTTGTTTTATTTTTTTTTCTTTCTTTCTTTTGTAAGCATAACTATTCTGTTCTTCATCAATAATAGAAAAATTCAAGATAACAGAGATAAATAAAAAGAATAAGTAACGATATTATTACATTTCACTCATCAGAATTTTCTTCGTATAGTCATGGATTCACTTGCTTTTAATTCGAAGAAGAAAGTAAAACTTCTATAACTGTATTTTCACATTAATTTATTTGATTATTTTTTCTTATTTCAGATCGAATAGACTATCAGTTTGCCTCAGTCAAACAATAGAGCATCGGCTGGTCTCTTTATCTTAGATTATAATAAGAACGGTTTTTTTAATGGTAAGAATATTGAAAATTATTTCTCAATGGCTGGGTGGGGAAAGAACAATTTCAGAATCAGCGAGTTGTATGGAAAATTTATTTTATGATGACAGTGAAGAACAAGCATTTTTTGATAAGGCTTTTGCTAGCTTTGAAAGTTACGACGAATCGAATCGAATTCATGGAAACGAAAATTTTTCTGAGGATATTGATTTTATTATTCACTGTGCAATAAAAAGTTTAACGTCATCCGAACGTTTACAACGATTATCAAAACAAATAGATACTTTTTTTTACATTTATCGTCGAGTTGCGGAATACAATGTTTGGGCCAGAAGACCTAATTATCATCTAAACGAATTTCAAGCAAAACTACTGCAGCAATCAGGCAATGTGTTTAAGACAACAAAAGGTTTGAAACCAAGTCTTTCTACAACTAACAAAGACCTTATAATACGAATGGGTATTCAACAACATTTGGCTACAGTTACGCAAATTAAAGATATAGAAGAACTGCATATATTCTTTGCTCTTTGTAAACTATCATTTCAGTCATCGTTAATGGTCAATGGTGTCGTTTCTTTGAAATGGGTTGATATATTATCGAGAATAGGTCAGTGGAATATTTCACTCACTGATTGGGTTTCGCAGTATGTAGAATATAAACTGGCATTCGAAACATATTTACTTGATATGCCAGCGTTTATTCATCTCATAAAAGTAATCCAACTATCAAAGAACGTTGACGTATCACCGTTTGATATTTTCCATGATCTTTTAAACAAATTACGATTAGATCATAAAGAATTCTTTGACCGATTTCTGACAACATTCCGTGATGGTATGATAAAAAAGCTTTACAGACCTCTGCACATTTCTTCTTTACTTCAAATGTTAAGTGAGCACGATGATCGACTATTTCATGAGTATTTGGAAATTTACTCATCAAATGTGGATATCGACACTATATGGCATATATTTCTGTATCTGAGTAAAACTAGTGATCTTAATCAAATCATGCAAAAACATCTTGGTTCGATATTAACACAGCGAATTCAAAAGATTTCAATCCAAACATTCAAAAATTACAATCAGTTGGCCCATGGATGCTTAAAACAAATCAAAAATGAAAATCGTGAACAGTTTTTGGAACTACTTGACATCGTTCTTCATGCATTTCTCAGCAGGCAGCTTAACGATGACCGATACTCTTATCAATTCAGAGAGTTTGAATTAAAAGAATTCTTAAGTATCGCTCTGGAATTAGCGCCAACACATAGTCTTCAAAATCGAAATTGTTTACTTATTATCCAACATTTATTATTCAAAATGGATAAGAATGTAGTACCAAAGTCTAGGAAAATCAAATGTCTATTTGAAAGATTGAATAATCTTGATAAAAATTTATGTGAAATAAATTGTCCTGCTGACATCATACAAGATGAATGGTTAAATGACTATAGTTTTTATATTCCTCAAGATTGGTTCATGCTAAGCCGATATGATTATCAAAATGTCATTGAGATGCATCGTAATAATCAGTGGACAATTTATATTTGGTCACGACTTATCAACTTTAGTCTTTTGAGATTAGAAACCGATAAATGGAAGCAAACACTTGCACAACTAAATGATTGGATGATCAATGTGAAGCACGATAGTTACGATGCCAATGACACGTTGACAATTATTTTAATTAAGACTATATTCGAAATTGTCATTTCTAAACATATTAAATCTATATTGGTTACTCCAAATATAAAATCGATTCTTCAATATATTCTACATGCAAGACAAGACAATTCGTATTTAATTGATACAAAACAAGTGGATGATTTCGTTCAAAATATATGTCATTCAATTCAAGATATTTTATCATTAAATAGTAAGTTCAGTTGATCATAGTTATGCACCAATGGACAATAATTTCATTCGGAATATTGTTCGATTATTGTTCATATCGACTAGACAGTAAATAGAGTGTATCAAATTTGACTTTTAGGAGGTTTTTGAAAATCACTTCTAACTTGAGAGCAGTTAGTCCCGTAAGATCTTGCTGTGTTGTATGATTGATTTTTTTGCCTTTACTGAAATGAATTTAGTCAGAAAAAGCACAATTATATAATACTTACAAAATTAATTATGAAAAAAGGAAAGAAGTTTTTTCTAATATTTGGTAAGAAAACTAAATATTCTGAAAGTGTTGTTTTTTTTATTACAGGCACACGAACCGAATATTCCAAACTCTTAAATATATCAAACGTTTCTTATTTTCTTTCTTTCTTCGATCTGAAAAATATTTTTACTTCATCAAATCCACAATACTATAAATTTCCTGTTACGACACCCCAAATCGATACAATTGTTTCTATTGATAAGCCAAATGATATCGATATATCTAAGATTGAACCGAAAGAGCAATTCTTCGACCGTTTTATACAACAAGTTAATGAATGGCTAGAATGGTTTGACAAATTTATAGATATTTTTCAATATACTATCGAATGGCTCAAAAACAGGAATGTAAATGGTGCTGAGCAACTATTTAGTGATGTATGTACAATCAAAAATGATTCAACAATTAAAGTCATTAAAATAAAAACGATCATACAACATATTGTAAAACTACTCAAGTCTCTCAACAATCTTCAACGTTTTTGTGGTTTATTCAATTGTTTTAACTCATTTGAAAATATTGATTCTGGTACTTTGAGCCAACCAGATCAATGGAGATCTTATATTCAAGACCTAAAGCGATCGCACGCAAATGCTACATTCACAGTGAATGCCAATGCTATATCCGATCTCAAGTGGTCGATTGATGCTCATCGACTTGTTCATTGGTCGATTGCTTGTGAAGAACTTGATTGTAACATTAAAATAGAATATCGAATTATTACACCTCATATTAAGAGTCACATATTATTTCCCAATCAAAATGTTCCTCTTCATAAACAAGTTTTACAAGGTGAATTTAAAACACAACGAAGTGGTGATTTGATGATAACTATTGACAATAGAAATGGACGAGTTCCACGGAAACTTTGGTATCAATATAAAACAATTCCTTTTTCAACATACCATCTATTTGATGGTATCTTTTCTATGTATTATCGAAAATATTTCGAACAATCAACTGTAAATCTAACAGAAAATGATTTGAATGAATTGATCGATCAAGTCTTCTATTTTATTGATAATCTTTTAAATGGTAATATCACTTTACATGAAATGAATTATCTTAAAACTGTTTTTCACGATAAAAATATTGATGTTAGAGAAGAAGTCAAAACATTATTTGCTAATCGTTCAATGATAGATAATCAACAAGAAACAATGAGAACGACATCAAACTTCATGTCACATGGTCGAAATGAACAAGATATCGAACAAGTTTGTGAATGGCTAAGAACTTATCAATACTACAGTCATCTTAATATTATAACTGATTGTGTACAAAAATTTAATATTATTACGAATAGTGATGAAAATAATGAATCCATTGATCATCTACAAGAAATGATCATTAATGAAAATTGCTCTCTTAAACAAATTTCAGAAACTTACAAAGATCTTTATGAATGTTTTCAAAAATTAACAAATCATCATTTACAATTAATTAAAACAATGGTCGAATGTTCAAACATTGTACAAATAATGAGAAATTTTGATTTATATTCTACTCATGGATTACGTCGATTTCAAGAATTACGAGATAACCTAACCGCACAATTTCAATTACAAGAACGCAATAATATGATTCTTAATTCATGGATTATTAGTTATGCTTTATGTGAACCATTTCTTCGTCAAGTAGAAAAATTAGAAGAATTTGTAGAAAATCTTGCAAAATTACCAAATCTTGATGAAAGTTCATTGGAACATATTAAAGGTAAGACAGAATATTTCCATACTTTTAAAAGTCCAATGCTTTCTAAAGAAGTAAACAACTTTTCAGTTTATGCCTTTCTCTTATAGCTGTCAATGATAATATACAAATTATAAATATGTGGCTATCAGCAGAAGAAACAACAATATTAGATCATGCTCTTATCACAATGGAACATTTATACAAGACTGGTATTGTTAATATTCATTTAAGACATTTAATAAATGAGCAATCCTATTTCGAAATTGAATATTCAATTGGTAAAATATCAACACAAATCAATAGATCAAATGAATCTAGTTGTGATGAAGATGATGAAGAAATACAACAACGAGAGAAAATAAAACTTACATTATCTATGACTGATATTGATGATCATAAACGTCAATTAACATTTTGTAATGCTGATATACAAAAAAATAAGATGGACAAAAAGATATTATTAAATGAACAATTAAAACTATTGTATACTATAGAAAAAATTTATTCAATTCTTGTGAAACTTGAAAAAGTAGGTCATCCAAATTATCAATTAAAAGAATACAGATATAAAATCTATGATCAATCAGGTAAACATTTTAGATAGACAATGAATTTAGTAAATTCTTCTTATATATAATTTATTTTTAGGTAGACTTAACAAAATATTATCTGATTTGAAAAATAATCAAAATAACAGCGAACAAGAACTTGAACAAGCAATTAAAGATCGAACAATTGATTTTGAATCAATTTATCTTGATTTAGACGCTCATTATAATAGATGGATAAGAGATTTAGAAAATTATCGATATGAAAGTCGTTTATTAATATTATTTTCAAATCGTCAAGTTATGATCATGATCATTTTATTGACAACAACACAAAATCAAATTCAACAAAAATTTTTAGAGAAATTATTTTCATTCAACGATTTCAATAATCAAAAAGAAGAACAATTTAATTTAATTATTCTATGTTTAATTCATTATTTACAATCATTGAGAATCAAAGATTGTAATTTATCTAGAGATCATATCATTGATTTATATAATAAATATAAAATAGAATATGGTTCATCAACAGATATTAGTCTACAATATTTATGTTCTTTTTTAAAAGATTTATTCAACAATGGAAAAGAATTATTAACAAAAAATACAACAATCAATGAGAATCAACAATTTCTCATTACACTTAATTCATCAGAACGAACTCAAGATAAAATCAAAATTGACAATGATTTTGATATAGATACATGCTGTATACTTTTAAATATTTTTAATGATCGATTACCAGCTGATTATCAAATATTATGGTGTTCTATTTCGACAGATGATGATATTCGATTATTTTTTTCACGTGTACGAACTTTTCGATATTTAACATTTGCCATCATGGATATTGATAAAATGTCTCATCGACTTCGACAATTATTATTCAATGAACAAGATTCATTAGCAAAACAATCTCAACCACATGGACCAATTTATTATTTTTCAAGAGAATTAATATCATCTAGAAAATGTTTACAACCATACTATATAAAGCCACAAGATCGAAATCCATTTCAAACTTATTCAAAATTTAAAACATTATTAAGAAGAAATAATTTTCCATTACCACAAATTCAAATCATATATGGTACTACTGGAATTGGTATAAAATTCTATTTTTGATTATTTTCTTTCCTTTTAAATTTTTTTCTTTTTAATAGGAAAAACTCATTTTATCAAAACAAATTATACAGATCATAATACATCATGTGTAAGTATCAATGATAAATTAAATTTATCATCATTGATTAGTACATTTCTATCATTGGAATCAAAAATATCAAATAATCAATTATCAATCTATTTTAATATTTCAATTCATGCTCTATTTCAACAATTAAATCGTGCATTCTTTTCTTTATTTATATGTGGTTCATTAAATGATCTAAGTAGTGGTCTTACATTTTCATCATCGATAGATAAACCATGGAAGTTTTTTATTGAAGTTCCTTATACAAATAAATATAGTCAAACGATTAAAGAAAATTTTCATCAAATATTACCAATACTTTCAATTATATCATCAAATACTTTCCAAGAAATTACCGATACGAATTATCAATTATTGATTGGTGAAGAAGAAGAACTTGTTGCAAGATTTCTTAAAGCTTATGATAATCAAACTATTGATGATGTTTTAACAGAAAACTCTGATGATGAAGATGATAATGAATTCTTACATTTTGATTCACTAACAGATCATAATGAATGTCGTCAATATATTTATAATTGTATTGAAAACTATGCATCAGAATTACCAAGAAATAAAATTTTTGAACTTTCATTTATAAAATTTTTATATCGTCGTATACGATTTTTTACTGGATCTTATTATTGTTATAATATGACTATTCAAAATCTTGGTTCAATAACTATGGAACAAATGATAACTGAAGCAAAAAATTTAACTCAAATAGATTTTTCTTCAAATCATTATCCACGTATTTATCTTGTTTATGATCCAGAATTTTCATTACATTTATTACATAATAATTGGAATGAAGTTCCATTAACATTAAAATCTCTTTTTCATAATCGTGATCCATTAAAAACAATAGAATATAGAAATAAAAATTATTTTATTGAATGTTTATCATGGTTAATCGATATACCTTATGATAGATTTGAAACAATAATGAATGAAATAAAATTTATTCTAACAGAAAATTTTACTTATAAACTTTTTCATATACATGAAAGAAAATTAACTAAATTACCTCTTATTATTGAAGGTGAAACAGGTGTTGGAAAAACTTTTCTTCTTAAATTTTATTCTTTATTAATTAATGCTAATATAATTTATAGTCAAAGTAACAATAATATTGCACCAAAAATTCTTGAACGTACAAGTTCATGGTTATTAACACATATTATTAATAATATCCTAGAAACGGAACCTAATTTATTAAATCGATTTCTTCGTCGAATAGAATCAAAATTACATGGTTCCGACGATACAAATGACAATGAAGAAGAAAATCAACATATAAATCATGCACTCTTATTACAAATAAAGCAATCCTTACAAAAATTTGAATATAATCCTGAAATTTTACGACGTATATGGAAAACAATAATTACTATCACACATGAAAATGCTGATAATATTGTTAAAAAACTTTTTGATGAATTACACGAATTTATAACATCATATTTAAGAGATTTTCCATTAATTAAAGCTAGTATTCAATTATTAAATCTATTAAATAAAGCACATTTATCAATAGTTGAAGGATCTATTGAAATTTTCAATGAATTCATAGTTCACACTCATATTAAACCATTATTTTATCGTCTTCTTTTACATCCTGATATAACTGAAAAACAAATCGAACATTTTATGTATCCTATTTCTCAATTAGCTAAACAAATACCTCATATTGAATTTGTCGTCTTTTTTGATGAAGTTAATACATGTTCTTGTCTTGGGTTATTTAAAGAAATGTTTATGGATGGAACACTACATGGTATTAATTTACCAAAAAATATATTCTTTACTGCAGCTATTAATCCATTAATAAATGTTACTAATGATTTTCAAGTTCATCGTCGTGATTATATTGTACATGAATTACCACAATCTTTAAATAATCTTAAAGTTTCTTATGGAATATTAGATTCGAATACATTAGCTGATTATATCAAACAAAAAATATCAAAATTTACTGTTAATTCAACAAGAAATCGCCAAATACAAATGCCATTAGTACAATATGTACAAGATATACTTACTCAATCTATTCTTAAAGCACAACAATTTTGTGAAATACATCTCGGTATTTTTATCTTTTTGAATTAAAACTAATGAGAGCTGATGCATACTGCGCTACTGCTTGTTTTCTTTAATATAACAACTCAAACCTTTAACATTTCCCTAGATAACAGACCTACAAATACTCCACATTATGTACATAATCCCTTATTTCCATTCTTCTTCACTCCGTTACTCTTTTGTAGTCTCACTTCTTTATAGTGTTACCCGTTATAGCCATATCTTCTCATTGCCTTTCTTCCTTATGGTTTTATCCTTTATAAGCTTATCCCTTGATAGCCTTATTCGACCTTTAACTTGGCACAGACAGATATACAGAAACTGAACATAATATATATAGGTTTATAATCTTTATATGAAATGAAAATGAGATGGCTTTCAAAAACAAAATCAATAAGTATATGTGCATGACAAAATAGAAATCTCGACTAGAGTATGATTGTATCAGAGAAAATAATTAGTTTTCAAGCAGAAAATTCTATTAAATACTTGAAAATTGATTTTCATGTTCTACTTCTTAATCGATCATCGTTTAGGTTACATGTTAATGAAGAAAATATTTGCTTTAAATCTATATTCGATAGGTGATATTTTGATTTTGATTTAGGACGAAATTCTGTTTCACAAAGAGAAATTCAAAGATGTTTTAATCTTATTGATTTCTTTTGGACGATGAGCTATAATGAAGATTATAATGAACCAAATCCCATACGATGTATTGCTTTATCATTAGCATTGATTTATTATTTTCGACTTCCAACAAAAGAAGATAATGCACAACGAAATGATTCTAATACACCAACACGTGAAAAACTTGCTGAAATTCTTTCAGAAAAAATACCAGATTTTGCTCAAATTATTCAAAATGAACTTGAAAGATTTGTTAATACTGATAATTTTGTTATACCACATGGAGTAGCTGTTAATCAAGCTGTAAGATTATGATTATTTATTTTTTTTAGAACATTTGTTTTTTCTTTATTTGATTAGATTCGTGAACATATCTTTTCCATTGTTGTTAGTATTGTTACACGAACACCATTATGTATAATTGGTGCACCAGGTATTTATTTATTTTTAATATTTTTTTAAATTAAATTCATATGATTTTACTTATTTTAGGTCAATCAAAAACACTTTCATTTCAAATTGTTTTACAAAATCTACAAGGTTCTCAATTATCAAAAAAAACCTTTTGTAAATGTCTACCAGCTATTGATCCATTTTTTTGTCTTGGATCAAAATATAGTCGATCAGAAGATATAGTATATGTATTTGAACGAGCTATTAAACGTGAACAACAATATCAACAAAATCGAATTGATAGACGATGTGTAAGCATTGTTTTTCTTTTGTTCATGATAATTCATTGATAAAGAAATATGAGACTATTATCAAATATTTCTTTTTTTTTTTTAGGTTGTGTTCTTGGATGAAGCTTCATTACCTGATGAGAAAAAGATGGTATTAAAAGTCTTACATCCTTATTTGGACGAATGTAAAGTAGCTTTTGTTGCTATAGCTAATAAATCATTTGATGCTGCTAATGCTAATCGAATGATTTGTATTTATCGATCATTACCATCAAAAGATGAACAAAAAATATTAGCATATGGTTGTCTTGGTTTACAAACTGAATACGAACAAAAAAATATTAACAAACATCTTGATAAAATTATATATGGTATTTGTCAAGGTTATCATCGAGTACTTTCTAATACAAATATTCCTAAAATTTTTCATGATCGAGATTTTATTTATATGTTACGAGAATTACGTTTTGAATTACCAACAACAACAACAACAACAGATGATGAAGAAACAAGTATTAATACTATAAAACCAATAAGTTTATTACGTGCTCTTGAAGATAATTTTAATGGAATAAAACAAAAAGAATTTCAAGAATTAATTGAAATATTTTTAAAATCTATTGAAGAATATTCTCCAAATTTTTCTTTATCAAATGAAAGACGACAAGAAAAATTTTATCGTGATATTCCAACTATTCTTCAAGATTCATTAAAACTTGATTCAAAACGTCGACGTCTTTATGGTCGTTATAAATTAATTATTGATGAATCAGAAGATGAAAGTGCTATTAATCTTTTATTTCAAACAGGTATTCTAGATTTCGATCCTAAACGAATATCAATTTTTCGAATGTCAGATTTTTCTGATGATATTAATAATGAATTACGAAATGTTGAAATATTATCAACAATTAAATTATGTATGGAAACTGGAAAAACAATTTTAATGATCAATACAAATCGAATACATGGTTCACTCTATGATATATTTAATCAAAATTTTTCAATTATGGCTACAGGTGATATGAGAAAAATTTTTTCGAAAGTTGCTATTGGTCCAAAAACAATTGATGTTGCTATTCATGAAGATTTTCAATGTATTGTTCATGTTAAACGAAATGAATTTAAAGATATTCCAGCACCATTTCTAAGTCGTTTTCAAAAATATTTATTATCTATTAAGGATTTCTATCGTATTCGATTACAAAAACTTTCTCGTCATGAACAGATTATTCTAAATAATATTGAAGAAAAAATTCTATCATTTATTCAACATTTTGGACGACAATATTTTTATGGTATGAATGATAATACTCTTTATTCATGTCTTCTATCATTAATTAAAATAAATGAAAATGAAGAATATTCTTTATTAAATCTAAATCAATATTATACACAATTAACTATTAAATTAAAATCATTTATTGAACAAAATCCTACAGATATTCAACAATGTTTTTTTCGAATAATTCTATCAAAATTAATTCAACTTGTTTCACCTGAATCAATTATATTAAAATTACCAGCATTTGAAGAAAAATTTCAAAAATGCTTATGTAATTTATATTTTCAACAACAAGAACATTTTAATTTGAGAAATTTTATTCAACAATTAATTTCAAAATCATTACTTAATGTCGACAATAATGATTTATTATCATTAGAAAATACAGAAAATCAACTAAGTTTCAATACTATTCATAGAACAACAAAAGTAATTATATTTACACGAACATCATCCTATGTACTTGATCTTAGTCAACAATTAAAAAATGAATTATTTACTACTAATAATGATAATGATGAAATTTCAAACTATAATAAACAAATAGAAATTATAAATTTAGTAAGTAGTCAAAATTATAACCTTAATTGTTCAAAATAACAAAAAAATCATTTTATCTTTTCTAATAATCTTCATTGAACCGTACAGTTTTTCTTTCTTTACATTTGTATGTTTACTGAATCAAATGTAGTTCTGCATGTATAGTTTTCTATTAGAATATGGATTCATCTGACGTAGACTTTGGATAATAAAATTCTTCGAATATGCAGATTGAATTATTAAAAGCATATAAGGCTTATTTGGGGATATATGTCGATCGTTCTTTAATCAGAAAGTTAAAATGAGTTGCTTGAATCTGTTGATAAAATTCTATTAGAAATCTTAACCAAATGTACGTTCACTTCGATTAGTTATTCGATATTTTTTTGTTATTATTGTAAACAATTATCCTATCATCGATGTATGTTTTGTTTAGAACACAATAGAAAATTCAATCGAATTAAAAGACAAATTTGATACTTATATAAATAATCGTACTAAAAATGTTTTAATGATTGTTATTGATGGTCGATATGAACAACAACGTTTACATATTCCTTATGTTCGACAATTGATTGATACAACTGACTCTTGTTATAATACTAATCATTGTACAGAGCCGAAATATTTTCTTATGCTTGTTCATTCATTAGCACAAGATTTATATCATCAATCATGTTTTTCATCAATATTTTTATATGATTGGGAATTTTATTTCTTTGATACATGTATGCCTAGTAGTGCATTTCATCTTCAAAAAATGTTACAAATTTTATCATCGTCTCATAATGATCAACAATTAGAAAATTTTGATAATATTCTATGTGATTTAAACATTCTCTTTGAAGATTCTTTATGGGATTTTTGCTCTCGAATTCAATTTCTTCTTCCTGAATTATCTGAAAATATGTTTACAAATAAAATAGCTTATGAATTTTATCAACGTTCAACAAATATAATTCGTCGTGTTAAATGTTTTAAATATATTCTTCAACAATCAACACAATTACAAAAACATATTATTAATATTTATCATAAATATTTATTACGAAAAGAAAATTCTTCGAAAAAAATTTACAATTTAATTTATCAAATTTCAAAAGATATTCTATGTGGTAAACGTTTTGATAGTCTTATGAATTCAATTCAATTACAAACAAAAAATTCATTTACAAATTTCGTTTCAAATATTTTTAAATTCATTGTTAATGATTATGGATTAGAAACATTACCAAAATTATCAACAGATCATAAAATTTATGGTTCATTATTAAATCTAATTGATTATCAATCATTTTCAAGCAATGATGATAAAAATTTATTTTCTTTATCATCAAATACACAAGGAATATTTCAACTTAGTACTCATTATTCTTATATACCACAAACACCATTGTATTATCTATTTCATCAACGCATTAAAAGACATGCAGACGAAATTAAATTAACAATTATTCTTAAATTAAAAGATCATCAAGGTTAGAATTTTGTTGTTTATATAACTATTCGTCTTCTCTGAAATATCTCATATGAAGTTAGGACAATCTATTGAACGATACATTGATGATCAACTATTCTCTTTTATAAAAGTCTAATGTTGTATGAATGCAGCGTGCATAAATCAGCATTGTTGTCTAAATAGTTAGAACTGCATTGAGCCTTCTTATGAATAGATTTTTAATGTGCTTTCGAACAAAATATGTGTGGAACGTACGGGATAAATACATAAACAAAAATCGACCTTGGATAATCTTTTTGACGATCCTTATTTTCCACCGTAATAATTACACTGTATAGAGTCGTTTACGACAAAGTGCAGTGCAACAATGGACTATAGTCTCTTTCACAAAAATACAGCATCATATACAGTTGTTTGTATGTCGCATTTCCATTCAATATGCTTGTAGTTCCTTCCATTCAACTAGCTAATAGTAAAATTTAGTAGATGTTTCGGTTCTCTTTTCTTAAATATTTTGTTTTACTAATTTTGTCAAAAAAAAATAGAAAAAGAAACACGGTAAGATTACATTTTGAATACGATTGGTATATCAGAAAATTTTGAAACTTTCAGGACTGATAGATCTCAGTGAGTCAAGCAAAAGTTGTCATAGATTCAATATTCTTAAATACTGTCCTATAAGAGAGATGGTCGCAGGAGCAAAAAAATGATCCCTGTTATCACCCCTTCCCCACTCTCAGCTACAATAAATTCTATAGATTTGAACGTTTTTTTACAATACCAGACACGATTTGTGGTGCCTACGGTTTTTGATTTCTTTTTTTTCTTTCTTTTCGAATACAAACATCAAAATACTGAGACTACCTTCAAAAATACATGTTTTTTTTTGAGTAGAGATTTTCTTCGTAAACCTTGGCAACAACCAGCGCTACATGACACAGCAAAACAAGAAAAAGTAGGCACCCTAAACACTTTCTACTATTATTAGAAAAAAGTCTCAGCTCTATCGGATGCACGATGCCGGAGAAGCTCCTACGGTAATTGATTTATCTTTTTGATGTTTTTTTTCTATTTTACTGCTATATTCGAATCCTCAAAACGTCACCAATAGATAGAGGACACTCGGCAACATATGTTGAGTAGTAAAAGCCAACAATGAAAATTTTGAATCCAGAGAGGGAGATTTCTTGAGAAATATCTTACAGATAGATAATGTGTGTCATTTACATGCTTCTTTTTTTGTTTTTCAGAAAAAGAAGATCGCTTACGTAATGATTATTATACTATTCCATCAATAACTACTGCAAATGATCATAATGAAAATAATTCTGAAATGACTCCATATACATTTGAAGAATATCGACATAAATTAATCGATTCTATTCTACATGATCAAGTATTAACTGATATGATTTGTGAACGTATTGTTTATTCTTATTCAACCGATCTTGTTGGAACAATTTGTACTATTGTCGACAATAATTTTAACAATGATCTTGTTCAATGTCAACAAGCAGTTGAATTTGTGTCACGTTGGTTATTACATATCGATAATAATGATTGCCAATTATTTGAGGATTGTACTAATAAATATGTATGGCGTCTTGCACATGTTTATACATCATTTGAATATGAACAAAATGATCTTATATCAATATATTCAGCAATTCGTATTCTTAATCGTATGGATTCTACACAATCATCATCTTACAATTATTTATTCAATGAAGAAAATACAACACGTTCTAAAATACGTGAAAAATTTTTTTATTTAATATTTGATTATTTATGGAAAACTCTTAATAAATTATGTTCAAATAATGAAAATTATGAAACATGGATATATGCATATACATTTATTTCGAAATATTATCCATCAGAAAAAATTTTACGTGGTATACAATTAAATAGTATTAAAAGTCAAATTGAATTTATGAATTTAGCTTATTTAATATTTTTAAATGATACAATAACTGAACCACAAGAATTAATATTGATGTTACTTAAAGACACGAATTTTAATCGATCATCAACTTGTTTAAAATTATTATCAAATATGACCGATGTTATTTGTCAATATTTGAAAAAGAAAAACATTAGTAATTCAACATTGTTTATTGATCTTCAACAATGGATAATAACAATATTAAGATCAATAACACGACCATCACAACAATATATTCATGTTCTCTTCAAATACTTAGATAATTCAGCGCATCAATTATCTCTACCAATGAAACAGTTTCTTTTCGATGAATTGATTAATATATTTCTACAATTAAAACAACGAAATATACAAACTTTTGATTTTTGGGACCGTTTAAATATAATTTCGGATTTAATTGAATGTATATCGAATGTCAATCTACTTGAAAATTATAAAATACCATATCATCCATTAATATTATCAGACAATCACGATTTACAAACACGACCAATATTACTTGATTTATATTTCTTTCATCTTAGACGTCAAATGATTCAGGAGAAAATTACTGGAAAACTTATTAATAAAGGAATGTTATTAAAATTGCCAAAAGTTACAAATCAACATTTAATACCTTTGGTAGAAAGTCTTTTCAAACAATTAAAAGATTATTTTCGAGTAACAATGATTGCTTTATTATTATGTGAATTAAACTTGAATAATGATGAACTCAATGATATCAATCGTATTATGTCAACACTCATCGATGAACTTTTATTAATCGATCAACAACCAACACAATTTAATGATTATCTTCAACTTTTTCTATCAACAATAATATCGAAAACATCATGGAATTATCTTTTAAATTTATTAAAATCTGAACAAATTCAACGTTGTAATAATCAATGGGCAACAAATTTATATCATTTACTTGAATTAAAACAAACATCAAAACAAAATAAATATTTACAATTATGTCATCAGATCGAATTTACATTATCATCAAAGAATGATTTATCAATATTTCCTATATTTCATCAACCTTATCAGGAATTAAGAGAAATTATGGACACATGTGTTAAAAATCATACTGAAAAAAATCCATGGAAAATTTTATTTGATTGGATTCAATTAAAAATCAATTCAAATCCAATACAATTACAATTAAATGAAATTAATGTTATGTTATTATTAATTATTTACTATGAATATTATTGTAATAATCAATTATCATCTATAGATACATTATTAGAAATAATTGAGAATAATTTACCATTATCATCTGAAGAATTACGATTATTTCGTATTTTTATCAAACCTCAACAATATATGATTGGATATCCAATAGAAAATAATAATAATAATAATACTGATAAAAATTTCCTTAATGATTTATTTAAACTTGATTGTAAAGATGAATTTGAACTATCTTTACGTCATATGCTTGTTAATCTTATGGCAATGATTTTATTAGGTGGAAAACAATCGTTTCTTTGGACATTTATGTTTCAACCATCTATATTACAAAATACGTTTGGTAAGTAAAGATAAGAGAAAATGGCCTTAAAATGTTCTCTAACATCGGAGAAGGTTGTTTAATCAGTTCCCCAAATCCAGAGAAAATCCCAGCCAATATTTTCTAGAGCAGAGGGTGATGGAGGTGACTCTCCATCCCCCGGGTCTCGCCGCACGTGATTTCATGTCTTGTTATTATTTAGCTTTTTGTCTAAACTAATTTTTATCTGTCCATCTTATTGTAGAGTTTGACATCGCTCCACTTGTCATGTTTTTTTTATACATATATCTAAAATAATTTTTAGTTTGTATCATACACGATTTTGTAAAGAATGTCAAGTTGTATGTTTTGATTTTAAAAAATTGATATTTCGATCAAATCAAAAAATCGAAGAGCAACAACAATCTAATTTATTCAATTCTTGACAATATTAACATCTACAGAGTTTCAGACTAAATTTATTTCTTTTTGTTTTATTTAAGCACATATTTCTTTAGTCACGCTCATATGCTCATGTCAGAATTGATTGATGTCATTTTGAACCGGAAATTTGAAAAATTCTATTTAAAATGATAATCTAAACTAGACCAGCTCAGACGAATTGGATTTTATATAGACTAAGTAAAGTAATGGCAGAACAACAAAAATAACCCATTGTAAATCAGTAAACAAGTTTTATTTGTGTTAATCTTATTACGACTGATTAGATATTTAAAAAAAAAAACTTATCATTAAACCTTGCCTATAACTAGGATTTGGATCAACTTCACGACAAATCATTCGACCAAATGGTGTTCATTATGATTGTGGTTGTATCATTTCACAAAATGGAGAGTTATTACAATTTAGGAATAGAGGAGATGAAAGTGTATTAAATATTCCAGCAGTTTATGTTGCGTATTTTTCAACATTTGGTGCATTGGTAAGTTTTTCAAAATGTATGATATTTCTTTTTTTTTTTAATATAATATTTAATCCTTAGGCATGGCATCTATTGTTATTTGATACATCTGTTGAAAATTTACATAGGCCAATTCTTTCACCAACAGCTATTGCTGATAATACTCCAGCTTATCGAATGGCTGGTAATAGTATACGAGCTAAAATTTGTTGTTTTGTGTCTGCTAGATTATTATCAACATTTCATTTTTTATCTATTCAATCAAATCAAAATGATACATGTATTCTTTTAACTCGTTGTTTCGAACAAATGGCATTTCTTACACTAAATCGAAATTCATGGATTAAACCTATATATACAAATATAGATGATGAACTCAAAGCTGAACGAGAATATCAAGAGAATGTATTTTATTTTATTTATAATAATCTATTTGGCTATAAAACTCATATTAATCAATTAAATTTGCAATCACAAATACAAATGAATCTTCAGCATTTTATCGATCAAATGCCTCTTATTATTCAATTTAAACATTTTAAAACTGAATTACATCGTTTAACGAATTCACAAATATCCTTAAAAATTTTACGACAAATTCTTAATTCTTTTGAAATTTTAAAAATAACAAAATTAATCTATGATCTTAGTCAATTTTATATTCTTTTACATCAAACTTATACACAATTAATTGATCGTAATGAATTTTTAACAATAACATTAAAACAATTGTATGATCGAGGTCAAAAATATTACAATCATTCTCATTATCAACAAGATCAAAATGAAGATAAAATGCATCGTACAATTATTGAAAAAGGAATTGAAGCTGTCAATATTTATTATCAATTTTCTGATGGGTTTATTCGACCAGGTGCTTGTGATGAAACTCAACGTTTTTCAATTATTTCATTCGATACACCAATAAATTATTTAGTTACGAATGAAAATCATGATGAAGGCGATATTATTATGCGTATAATCAGGTGAATTCATTTATAGAACATGTAGATATTTCAAAAAAAGAAGTCAAAACTCCCAGATCTCTTTTCGTCGCATCGACATAAAACAAAATAAAAAACAAGCTTTAATAACATTGAAACTTTTTTCGAACAAATTAGAAATACTAACTAATAAAGTTATTTCAATCTCATCTTTCTCGTCATGTCTCGGGAACAAAGAGCCAGTAGCACTAGTTCTCGAGACGACCACCGTAATTCACGGATACTAAAATAGTCGAGAACATTCACGGGTTCGGTACTGAGGAGGGATTGGAGGATCTTCGCCGAGTTACCCCCTGTCTTCGATCATCACTTTTAATGAAAAATCGAAACTTAGCAATATCTCTTTCTGGTAACATTGTTATGCTTAGGAACTAGAGAGACGAACAGTGACCGTGACCAAAAGTTGGTCATGTCGCGCACTAATTAGCACAAACTATCTTTCTAGTTTTCTTAATCTGTTGACTTCCAATTAGTTATGGTCAAAAAATGACATCAAACATTTGTAATCACTAGGATATGTGCCTCGCGAAATCCATTTATCCATGTCTAATATTCAAGCACATTGCAGAACTTAGTCAATCTTTCACGTATTCTTGCATATAGCACTTGAATATCAAACTATCGATCTCAAGTTGCTCTATTTAAAGGCGTATGTATATCATTGGAGAAAGAAAAAATCATAACCAAGTACCTTTTAGTCTTGAATCAATTATGAATCTGACTGCCAAAAAGTTATATAAAATAAATTTCTTCGTTTTGTTTTAGTGTCTTAGTTGAGTCTCATAATAGTTTATTGGACTTAATGGAATATGAATTGAACAATAATCAAAATCATACTGTTGGTGCTTTGAGAAATTTGATCAAAGAATTAACATCAAAAAATGTCTCAATTCTACAAATTGCAAATGATAAAACTGGTGTTATTAGTTTAAATGAAAAAGATTGTCTATGGATTGAACAACTATCTCAAGCAAGTCTTATAAACAATGAAGAACAATACTTCATAACATCAAATTCACGATTAATATTTGATTTTGTTTATATTCAATCGCAGATTATTCGAACATATCTTCTATTTTGTCGTATTAACTATCATCATATTATTCAAAAATATCAATATCATACAAAAAAAATACAAACAACAACAAATATCGAATGTTTAGAACTCGATGAGAAATATTTAATTCGTCTAAATGATGAACAACTTGAAAATGAATGGAATCATTTGAAAAATATTTTATTCGATAAACTTTATTATGCTAATAATCTTCTAAGACAAATAGCCTTAACATTAAAAAATCATTCGAATAATTTATCATCAATCTATCTCTTTGAATATATTAGAATGACTGATAATGATAATAATATTCATCAACAATTAGAACAATATGAAATAAAAAATTTTCAATTATGTTATATAGATCATGTAATACAACTCTATGCAGAATCTATTAGTGGATTTCAATATTTATTTACAGACATACAACCTTTACTTCGAGTTCCAATTGATACTCAATTAAATAAAGCACTCATTCAAAAATTTAATGAAAACTTATCTCTTATGAATTATACAAATGATATTGAAAAAATTCAATTAATAATTCAAACAATTACAGAATATCTTAATGAATTAAAAACTATTGAAGATATTCTTTTACAACAATCTACACAATCACTAATTGAAACATGTCAACATTTAGCAATTGATAATCTTATTGTTTCGTGGATACCATCTAGAATAAAATGTGAAAATTATGTTGATCTTTGTATTTATTTAATTCATACAAGATCAATGCTTCAAGAAAGAAAATTTAATTTCGAACAACAACAAATGAATTTATGGACTGAAAATTTTAATTCTGATGAAGAATATGATAAACAAAGAAATCGTTTTCATCAATATTTAAATTCACAATATGATGAATCGACATTCGAAATAGAACAAAATATAAATGAATCAAATAATTGGAAACTTCCTGTAATGAATCCAGAAGAATTAACAAATGAAAATAATTTATTTGATTTCGATCAACAACAAATAAAACCTAAAAATATTGAATATCTATCTTTGATGGCATTTAATATAAAATCAGTTCCATGTACATCATCAGTATTTATTCAACAAATACATCAATATCGAATAGAATCATCAATAGAATCAATTATTATAAATAAAGTACAAAAATTTACTATTGTACATCCAAATGGAGAATCAAAAACATATTTGTGGAAAAGTGAAAATTTTTTTGAACAATTAAAAAAATTATTTGTTGAGAAAAAATATGATCATAATTTATTTGTTATTGTTACTAAAAATGGAGTATTTATTGATTTTACAAACAATAATTATTTTCGATCATATCAATCACTTTTAGAATATCATATTATTGAAAAACAATGTTTAATTCAAATTCAATTTCATTATCGAACACAAATTTATGAATATTTAATTACATCGAAATGTAATATTTCAACTATAATTCATCATTTTATTAATGATAAACAACTCAAATCTTTATCATCTGATATTATTCTTTGTTTCTTTAATGAATATGGGAAATGTATTAACGATGGAATTATCAGTGATCTTTGCCAAACCGATCAAAAGATAGTTTCAATTTTTGTAACGGAAGAATCATCAAATACTAGTATTCTATATGAAATGATTTTACAATACAATAAAGGTAATCAAAAGAAAAACTATTGCTAAACTTTTGTGAAACACGATCTGAAAAGAAATGTCGAAGTATATAGGTTAAAAATTTGCACTTCCCCCTCCCGCTAAGGTCGTGAGAGATACACTATCACAAACGGTAACGGATGGCATCAAGAATCTATTACAGGTTATATATAACTAACATAGAATTGAAGTATATAAATATAGAATATTTCATTGGTAAAATTTTATGTGCTCTAAAGTAACGAATGATGACGAAATCTGCTTCAATATACATGAAAAAGACAAGATTTCAGAGAATATGCAACAGTCGGTACATCGTATTTCACATTTTTATAGCAAAGGGATCGTGCTGATAGCTTTCTTTTTTTGTATAGATCAAAATCACATAATGAATTTATTCTATCCAACAACAAAATGGCAACAAATTAATCTTTGGTTAAAAACTCTTTCACATATCATTGATTCTTCTATTAATGATTATGCTTTTTTAATGCGAGCAAAAAATATAATAATTAACGATAATCAAACCATATCGTCAACTATAGATCAAACAACATCGATGACAATTGATGTTATTAATCGAAATACGATAATTGAAGTTAATTTTACTTATGAAGCAAATAATCAATCTATTTATGCATTAAAATCAATGAAGATTTCGTCTTTATTAAATTTAATTGATTTTTATTCTGATGATTGTCTTCTTAGGATGAAAGAAATAAATGAACAAATTTTAACAGAAGATGATCTTCAAAAATCTATAGATACTTATTCAACTATTGAAAATCAATCAATTCATTTTCAAATATTGAACTCAGTACAAATAATAAAATATGATGATAAAGAACAAATAAAAATACCTTTATCAAATAGAAATATAACTATTCAACAATTATTAAATTTAACAGGTAAATCAATCGATATTTATAAATATTTAGCTACGAATGATACTAAAAAAATTATTAATCCTAATGAAAAGCTTTCGAATTTAAATCAAACTAAATTTATTCTTGTTAAAGAAAATGAAACTTGTCTTGTATCGATTAAAAAATCAGATGATTTACAATTAATTTATAATAATGAAGAACAAGAACAAGAAAAAAATAAGCAATATCAACGATTTACTATATCTGCTACTATAGCTGATATTAATAAAGAAAATCAACTTGATATTTTATATCAATATCTTCTATGTTCAAATGATTTTGTTCCATCAACAGATATTCAATTACTATCTTTTCAATTAGAATCACTGATTCAATTTACTGTTATTGATCAAAATTTACCAGTTCTTGTCACTATACAAAATGATAAAGAAAATAAATCAATTCAATTTAATTGTAGACTTTCGATAACAATAAAACGTCTTTGTGAAATTGTATGTCAACTATTTAATATAAATAGCAAGGATTTTTATCTCAATATGAATGATATAACATTAAACGATGATGATATCTCTTTAGAAGATATTGATGAAAATATGACTCAAATTCAATTCCAAATGATTTCAAAAACATCTATATATTGCTCAATCATGTATTCTAATCAGAACATTACATTGCCATGCAATGATGATACATCGATAATGACTATCGTTAAAGAAATATTTCAGAAATTACATATATCAGAAAATGATATGAATATGTATGAGTTGATGGCGTTGAATGATGATCAAACACAAATCAGTTTCGATTTATCAATAGATGATATTCGTCAATTATTTCCTATTGATTCGACGACAGTGTTACTTCAATTAAAAAATATAAATGAATGAAACGAAAAATTGATCCTGTGAAATATATTCAATTTCGACTTAACTTTCGTTTTGTCCAGTAAATTTTTAGATGGATTTGTAATCGATTATTTCCATTTTCTATGAACAGATTTTTATTTTTTTCTACTAATTCAAAACTTCTTTAAAAAAGATAATAAAATTGATTTATGAAGGTAGCTTTTGTCAAAATTCGAAGGTAATACCAATCTCGATTTGCATTATAGAATGTCTATGACTGTATCAGATAATTTTTTTTAATGTATACATAATAAAACCTTTGTTTAATTATAGTCTTTCGTTGAAAACTATTTGTATCAGTAGTGAAAAATTTACACTAAGTAATTTAATTCATATTGTGGAAATTCTATAAAATATTTCTGCTCATTTAAATTGTTTGTTCACTTGTTAAGATTCTAAGAATCAGAGAATAGTAGGAGGACAGAATTATTTGTAGAAAATTCATCCAAGTTCGGAGTGTCGATATGTATTTTCATCTTTTCTTCATCTACATTCATACATACGCACGCTTCGATCTTGGCGGAGTCGATGTAGATATTCATTAGACCCATAGCTACAGTCATAAGTGAAAGTTTTGGACCATGGACTTTTATTGCTGTCAACGTTTTGTGTTTGATAGCTTTTACTTGATTTGCTTATAAGCAAAGAAATACAAAAAGCTGGATAAAGTAGAGTTTTCTAACGGGTTGATGTGAAGTATAGGTATTGATTTTTTCCGCTATACACATTTTCACTCACAATCTACACTCAGACCCGAGCGGTTCCCTCCGAAATACTATATGGAATATAGAAAGTCAGATGTGTCCCAATCTAATCAATGTCGAAGCTATGCTTACTATTTGCTTATTGGTTGATATTGTCATGTGCTCAAAATCGATCAAAATTATTCTAATGATGACATCTGGCTTGGCTTTATTAATGCTAATGGCGAGTCGCTTGTTGTTCACTATGGAATGCAATAAAGTATGATTAGTAGTGTTATCCAGCTAGATATAAAATCAGTACGGCTCAAGTGTGTGGTACAAGTCAAGAAGTAGTGAACGAGAGTGAGCCAACAATGAATCAATCCTCGACCTATAAAACAACTTATTGTAACGGTCATGCTCATTGTGATTAAAAATGAACATGCATTTGATAATAGACAATCACTTCATAGTTGTTTCGTTTCATTTTCTCTTACCACAAGTTTCAAGGTCGATCTCGACGAGTCTAGTAAGTTAAACTCTATATGACACTAATTGTGTGCAGCAAAGATGAGACCATGATTGCATAATAATGGTTTTTGGATGTGGGTGGACCGATGGATTAAGTAATAAGGACAAATACCAACATTTACACACTCATATTCCATTTAATGGTAGTGTTCTAATATTCGTGATTTATGATTGTTTATCCTTTACAACATCAGAATATACAAATTTTTCATTGTCTAGATTGATTTTGAGTATCAGAAAATGAATATTTGTCGTTATCATATCAGTATATGAAATAAATGTGAAAAGAAAGTAGCTAGACAGATTTCTCTGGATATGTTCAATTTGAAAACATGTGAAGTTTCCTTATTTGCCTTCATCTTCTTATGTACAACTTACATGTACTTCTAATCACTTTATCTATATGCCAATGATCGAAGCTACATGCCAATATATGAAAAAAATAGTCTTTAAAACAAACATGACAACGAAATGTTTAGCCAAGGATAGTCCAGTATATAAAATGCAGTGACAATTTTCATATTCTTTTTTTGATCGGCTATGATTGAAGCGTTGAGTATGTGGACAAAAACAACCAGTTTATTGTATATACATACATATCGAATAATAGTCTTACACATGTAGGTTACCTTTTTCTAAATATTTAAACTAAGGATGACGCGAAGGTGGAGAGAATAAGATAATGAAGAAGTAGAAATGCCGAGATATGAAAGTAACATGGTTAAAAAGCAGCGAAGTGATGCATTACTCAGATCGATAAGTAACGAAAAGGAAAAAAGTACACATTGTAATGCTGTACAAAATATTTCTTTACAGAGAAAAGAAGAGTAGATTTTAGGTAATGTTTTTTCACACGTGTTTTTGTTCAAAAAAGAATTTCATTCATCCTTTAAACATGTGCAATTTCATAAAAGAAAAAGATTCGGCTTCTTGGTTGATTTATTTGTTTGGCCAATGGTTTGAAGACCGCAAAAATGATAGTTTTTGAAGTTTCTGTGATTGTAAACCTGTATGCTGAGGGTATGAGATGCGAATATGATCATATTCCACGCCGATAGCCATACTTTAACAAATTAGTATTAATCGAGCAACAAAATTTTTTTTATAATCGAATGCTCTACTTTAACTTGTTTGGTTTATTCTTTACCTTTCGATAGTCGTCTGAGATTATTACTATCGATCTCTTCTAATAAACTTTATTCACTATTGGCTTTAGAGACGTATGTCCTAGATTCATCGTAGGAATATAGCTGATAACAATTTAAAAAATTCTAAATTACCTTTCTCATTCTTTCATCAAGAGTAATAAACAGGTTATCGTAAGTGCAGTATCAATTACTTGTGTCCGTATCAAAGCGTTGATATTCTCTTAGATTCATGTGATAATGATATAATTAATATGCAAGAAAATTCCAAGCAAAAAAGTTTTGGTAAGTAATTTGTATGTGAGTCCTAGCAAGGTGTAAAAGTCTCAATAAAAGTTAAATATTTCCCAAATAAAGAATTATTGTCATGGAAGAAATCAAATAAAGTTGGAAAGCTATTTAGTCATCCTTGAGTTTTTGATTCGATTGTGTGCTAAAATTGAGTATTCAATAATGTTATAAACTTCCGATCAGTTCAAAATAGATAAATGTAAAAGTTGTAGTCTCAAACCTTACAAAGGAAAGCATTATGAGTCAGTGAAATATTTTTGATCACTTTCTTTTATTTTTGTTCAAAAACTAAAAGCTTTTCTTCCTAATTTCTTTCTAATATAGAAAGGTTTTTTTGTCACATACAGTCGTACTCTCTAAACTGGCATATTTTAACATTACTCATCGTCTTCTGTAACACTACACTTCATTCGCATCCTAAGTGTCTGAATTAAATTTTAGAAACATCGACTAATTCTCACAGATTATTACAATCTCGTTAGGTTTATCTTGCTGTGAGATAGAAAACATCTTGTCGTCACGAGAAGGGATGATTATGAAGATGCGAGTACGAGGGCAAATTTTCTCTGCACTCACGTCTGTATCTTCTTTTTCAAAGTCACAGGTATCTATCACGAAAGCGAATCAAATTTTGAGTGAGAATAAACCTTTTCTGATTTCCGTCAAAAAAAAAACTATCAACTCAGAAATGATTTGATACATAAAATTTCCTTAGGAATATGGTGAATGCAATACCATTTCGAAAAAAATTTCCTGAATGATTTATATACTCGCTGAATATGGCAAAAGGAAAGAAAAACTTTCTTCTTTTCAATTACAACGCATTTTGTTAGGAAAAAAATTTGCTTTAATCTATGATGTCGAAATGCAAACTGTAGTCAGTAGTAACTAAAGATAGATTTTTATTTTCCTAGCGTTGAGTGTCCGTAATTTCAGAGTCATGGAACGATAATATTTCTTATCATCGACAAAACATATGGTCTTCTACGTAAAGCTTTCTACGATCCAAAAATATCAAAAGAGCAAACATTTTTCATGGGAAGTCATGATCATGACAACGTTTATTCTAAACTGAAAAATCTGGTCAGAGAAGAAGCGAAGAATAGACGATTCTCTAATATGCTCTACAATGCATTCAACTTCAGGAAAATATAAGTTTCTAAATCAAAAGGAAAAAAAAAGTCGCAAATAGGTGCTGAACTCGATCGACAGTAAGTTCAATAATTAGAAGACTAATGAGACGAGACACAGTATCTAACAGTGTTGATTTATTGTCTGTGGCATGAGTTTCCAAATAATGTAGTAAGGGTGGATGTAAATCTTGGTATAGACTGCGATATCTAAATGTGCGCATTGGTGTGAATATAGGTTCGTGAATGAAGATGTGTGTGTTAGGTCGTCGTTTAGACTATACAAAAGACTTGTACTCATACCGACATCCACACATGTGCAACGAATTATGCTGCGATGCATGATCCTATTATGATGTCGGTGCCTTGTAGAAAAAAATTGAAAATAGCCCAATTTCACTTCTTTGACGTTCAAAGCTCTTCTTTCAAATTCCTCTCAACAGTATTGAGCCCGATATACATTATAATCGATCCTTTGTCTTTATTTTTCCTAATATTTTTTACAATAGCAAAATAGAAGATCCATGTCTTTTTAATTTTTATTTCAACACAATAGACAACTTTCTATCAGAAACTAATTTTGTTCTTTTTGATATACTTATTTTGAGCATCTTATTCTGTTAAAACATAGAAAACCAGTGCTGCATGCAATTAGTCGAATTTACGAACAGCATTTAGATGCCGACAATATCTCATTATAGATACGGCAGTACTTTAAGAAAAAGCCATTTCCAATAGCATGGTTTGATGGGTCGATAAAGCAAGAATATGTTTACATATTGAATAAAGAAGAATTCAAGCTCATCGCATTGTCAACTGCAAAGAATAAGTATTGGCAAAAACTTTCAACCAATTTTTTCTTATGGTGTCTGATAATCGAGGAAAAATACTTAGGAAGAATAATACAGATTATATAGTAAGTTACATGTGATTTTCATCACTCTTTTTGTTTCAATCATTTTTTTCGACTAAACCATACAACAAACATGGTACGAGAAAATAAGATTTTATAAAGTGAAGTCAATTCTTTCGACAAAAGAAAGAGTACAAACTTATTTAGAAAAACTAATAGCAGATGAGCAATACTCTGTCTAAGATGTTTTTAATTTGTAGATATGGGTCAATGCTATCTCATTTTTTTCTGCAAGTTGACGAAAAGAGTTTGTTGGTTATGAGTTTTATAGACAGATGGTATATTCACTTTTAAAATAAGCTCCATGGTTACCTATCATTCGATGAGATAGTAACAGCATCTAAATAGAACTCTCAAAGCATTCAAACAATCTTAGATGGATATTTTCCAGTGTTTGATACACTTCGAATGTACGATTTCCTGGCCCGTTTGAATCTCCATTTGATAGAACAATCACACCAAGAGTACTCTTTTCGTTGACCAACATCAAATGTCTTGAACCTGGAAGTGAACCACTATGACCAATGTATCGTCGTCCATCACTCAAAGTTGCCCAGTACCAACTAAGTCCGAAAAAAAGTGATGGTATGCCATCAGCATCATTGCTCGTATTTTGAATGTAATCAGGTATTAAGCCAGCACCGACTATTGTTTTGATTTCTAAAATTGATCGAGCACTTAGAATGGGGAATCCTTTATTGATAAACATGCGAAGAAATTTGGATAAAGAACTAGCTGACATACGAAAAAGACCAGCAGGATAGGCACTAAAGCCAAAGAATGGAATGTATAACCAAGTTGGAAAACTATCCTGGTAATAAAAGAAGAACAAAAATCAATTCAAATAATAGTATTACAACTTTCATTTACTAGAAGTGGTATAATATTCAATTGTGGCATTATTTTAAGCCAATCATTTAGATTACTCGTATTGGGTGCATACGCATAATGTTTAACGAGCTCCTCTCGATTTGGAAAATCAGCTAGACGAACACCTACTCGACTGACATCAACATTGAGAGGCTTCAAAATACGATCTTTGACATATTGATCAAAAGAAATATTTGTTACTCTTTCAACAACTAATGCAGCAAGAGATGAACCCTCATTCGAGTAAAATGATACGCTGCCAGGTGCTTCTGGTAACCAGTTCAACGTATTTGAATTCAGAAGAGTGAACAATGTATCAGCTAAAGTCGACTGTTCGAAAGCAGTATCGCCCGTATTATATAAGCTTATTTGTGTATTTTCATTGACAGCAATCGATGCTGAGTGTGAGAGTAATTGACGTAAAGTAATCGAATGAGAAGGATACTGTGGATGAAAAATACGATAACCAGATTCCGTTAAGTACTGGTTTATGTCCATATCAAGATCAACACGTTTTTGTTCAACAAGTTGCATGACAGCAACGGCAATAAGAGTCTTCGAAATTGAAGCTAGAGTAAAAATGGATTTGTCCACATCAATGAAATGTGGTGGTATAAGAGACTGATAACCGAATGCTTCTTCATAGATTACATGAGTAGCATTGACAACAACAACAGCAGCACCCGGAATCAAAGATTTATTCAAAGACTCTTCTATCCATTGTCGATTCGGACAATTTAAACTTTTCCCATTAGAAATAAAAAAGTAAAGAAGAATAAAAAACGATAATAAGTATGCCATGTACTGGACACTCTATATAAAAAGATAAATCAGTTTTATATCATCATTTACATGACGAACAACTATATACTTGCAAATTAATGCGGGCAACAAACAAAGGTTTGGGATCTTTTTATTTTAATCCGAATAATAATACAATAACATAGAGACTATCGACAATATTTAGGCAAGGGAAGATTAAAGTCTATTACATTAATCCTTCTCGAAGGTTATCAATTGGAAAGGGTACAAGATAATATGTGAACTAATATTGTCAATTGATCCAATCATTACACAGAAGTCGGTCTAACTGATCGGAATCCTCGTATGCATCCTAAGAAATTGTTCGAAAATTAAGCGAACATTTAGAAAGATACAGGTTAGAGACATTTCAAACGTCTCGTGATTGCTTCAAAATCAGCTCGAGCTATCTACCGTAATAAGACTTAATAAATTATTGACTGTGCCTTTCCTCAGTTTTTCTTTCTTTTCCTAGGTAGTTGAAATTTTAGGGTGGTGCGGGTGAAGATCTTCTGCTCATTCATTAAGACTCACACCCACTTTCAAAAATAGTCGCATACATGCTTGTAAAGAAGCTATCGGTCGACAATAACTCTCTTGCTGTGTCGTTGTTAATAACAACCTCTTTTTTCAACGATTTTCTATTTCTATGCTTCAAGTTCGTACAGTCAAAAAAATTAGTTCTCATGAATCTTTAGATTACAATAGAGCTCGATATAAACTTCTAAAATGCTAGCAAGATCTTTGCTATACTCCTTACAGAAAACATATAAGCCTTATATTCACTTATTATTTTTTAAAAATTCATTAAACAAATGAAATGTATTAATAAAAAAGAAAATAACACACCATCAACAATTTCTATTGGTGAGCACTGTAATTATTGATATATTTCGGTTGTTTTCATTCAACAGTACCATCAAAAACGGTGTTATTGGGTTTACACGTTACATATTATATGTTAGTTTATTACATGTTAAACATGATCATATCTTTTCATGTAGAGGGTTAACGACGCATATGCTGCATTACTTGGATTTATTTTTCAATAAGTTTACATTTTACAAACGATTTACAACAAATGAGCATATAAATAAAGATAAGTAAAGATTTTTCTAAATGTTTTTCTAAATGTAGAACAGCCTTCGTCAACAAAAATAAACTAAAAACACGAACATCAAAACAGAGTTTTTAAAAATCACATCATTTTCAGAAATACTTATTATCTTTGAGTACTGTAAAGTTTCAAGCAAAATAAATAACTAAATAAGCTTATAGGTTTTTTGCTATTTGTGTTTTAAGAAATAAAATACATTTTCAAGATAATCGTTGCATATGCATGGTAAAATAATTTTTATTTGATGATTGGAGTTTGTAAATTAGGTAGGAAAAATTAAAATAATAATATTACAATAATTATGAACGCTTATTTGGTAAAGTAGTAACATTCGCTGCCATTGGGACTGAAACTGTGATAATGTGATTGATAGGCAATACTTGATTTGGTCTCAATAATTTCCAAACAATATATTTTTAACTGAAGAACAGAAAATAATAATGCTACGCTCAATCCTGCCATTGATGTTGCAATCGAATGTTTATAACTCGAAAACTTAGAGGATGTTCTTTCCCTATGATAAACATCATCAGTATAAGAGACATAGTCGGTAGTCCTAGAACAAACAAAATCCCAACGATCATAATAATTCGTCGAAGAGCATTCAAATCTCGATTTGGTTGTCGTTTAATGGCTATTGTTGGACTTTTTGAATTTTTTCGAATGAATATTAATACGAAGACAGATCAATGACAACGATATAACGGGAATACCATAAATATTAAGAAAAATCCAAAGAAAACCTCGGATATTAGAGAATGGTATTATGACAAAAATGTTCAGTGGGTAGATAGATAATATCATGCCAAAGATAAATAGGACACATGAGAATAAAAGTTAGAATCAGCTCAATAGGAGGTATAATGATATATAACCATGATAATTGCAGCGATCTATTATTTGAATATAGAATGCGACAAAGACGAAAGAAAGCCTAAGAATAATATCAAACGAACATCAACACTCTTTTAAATAAATATCTAATCCGTAGTTTCATTTAGATATTCTCACAGAAAAATTTTCTTCAATTATCCAACAGATTTCATGCTTAATCTATGTGCTTCTTGAAAACTTTAATGAATTATGAATATTCTTTAAAAACTTCACATTCATAGCTTATTGCTAGCAAGATATTTCTCGAGAACACTAAAAATCGCAATCTCAAATTTCTACTTTAAATGACATAGAGAGACGATTTACACTTTTCAGATCATCTAGCAACTCTCATCCTTTACTATGGCTTTGATAAAAGTATCTTGTTTCATATAAGTTAAATACAGATTTTGATTTTCTTACTTGAGAAATTGTATAACCAATAGTTCTGAACTTCCATAACAAACTACACTAATGATGATCCATCTCTGTCCAGAAGTTCAAGGTGAAGTTCGAAATTAAGTTCCCTGGTGTCCGTGAGAAGAATCATGCCATCTTTTTAAAAAATACTGTTAAAACCAATATTACGCCAGGTGGAACAATGTAGAACGAAACAAAAACCACATATGGACTCTTTAACCTGTATAGATAGTCAACAGAGAAAAGCTTCAAATATTGATAGAGTATTCATGACTCATTCGAAGTACTATGATTGACATACTTTGGACAAGGGACCAATTAAACATATCGGGAGTTCTCTTATTATTTTTAAAATAATATACATAATCAGGGTGTGGGTGTGAGTGTGCGTGTGGCTATGCATCCAGAAAAATCCTACACCCACACCCAGACCCAGACCCACACTCACACCCTACCGTACACCCACACCCACCCGTTCTCATATTTGGTTAAAAACGTCGATTTTCTTCTGATATATCTTCCATAAATAAGCAATCGCACGAAATACAGACTTGAAAAAATTTTACTGGTCCTTAGGCATACAAAAAACGGTGGGTGTGGGTGTGGATATAGTATTTTATCCTGTTTGGCTAATACCCACAGACCCACCCATCCACCCACATCCACATCATACCCACACTCATCACTCCACACACCCGCAACCACACTCTTTTGCTCGACTTTTGCATGTTTTGTAACTCACAGAAAAATACAAAAGCAGGACTCATAGGTGGGTGTCACTTTTATCAGAAAGAAAAAAAATAACATTTATGGTACTATTAAAAGTAGTATGTAATGCTCGTTCTTTTTTCTTTTCTGCATCGGTTTCTTGCAATTTTCTTTTTCAATCAGAAGCGTAGAAGAAGTTTTATGTCTACTCCACGTGCTCACAAGAAAAAACGACAGCAAAGTGAAAGCACGAATGCTCGTTCCAAAAGACATTCTGCACGCAAATCCATCTTTGGTGAAATCGATCAAACGAAAGAATACACTATCTACTGGCTGTGTGATGGTGTCAACACGTCGTCCAATCACAGTGAAATGCCGAATGTCAAACTGCGAGGTATTGCCGACTATCTACAGAAAATATCAGATATAAACACTATACGCGAAGCGAGTGATCAAAATATATTTCTCATCATGGATTGTGCTTCTCTTCATGAACACTTCAGTTATTTGATTACATCCAATAAAATTCGTCTAATCTACATTCATGAACGCCATGATGATGGTAAAAGCGAAAGGAACGAAAACAACTGGACTCTTCAAGGTCCAAAGGTGAGTAGAGTAGTGGGTGACTTGTTTAGCAATATAAATGCAAACTGTTACCTTTTAATTGACTTTAAATGCTTAATTAATATTACTGAAGCTTAGAGTATTTAAATACTATCAATTCCTTGTGCCTTGTATGAAATTTAGTCTACAACTCTTGTTTGAACAAAAATCACAGGTAGAGAGTGTTCAGGCCAGAAGTATGTCATTGTGTGGTTCATCAAAGCAAGTTAGTTTACACATAAGAAAAAGCCAAGTTTATTTCTCTCCAAAACGGTTGCAAAAGATCTCGAGCTTGGAAAAGCGTCTGACCCCTATCCAAAAGTTAACTGCATGTAAGTTTCTATCAGTATGTCTTACATTAATATGTTTTCAATACGGCATCCACGAAACGGCATGATTGTGTCATTCTTCAAGAACCATTTTATTTTCCGCAATGAATCATCATAAAAAATGTTCTTTTTTTAGGTTCGTGGCCCATTCAAAGATTTGAACGAGCTTTTCTATACTCTTTCCAACAATGTCCGTACGATGACTTTTCTACCAAACATGTCCACTAAATTGCCTCCTTTGACAAGTATTTCAAAGACAGTCGAACGATCAACTATGCTTTCTTACTCTTACGTGACTGACTGGTACATTTATTTGATTCGTGCCATGCAAGAGGTACCACCAGCACGAACTAATAAGGAAAAATTTCTTGAAGAATGTCGTATTCTTTACAAGGATAACTCTGCTGTTCTACAAGCAATAGAAGAATTTGCTAATACATATACTCCCAAAGAGGCTATTCGTTGGTATACGCGCGATGGTTTCGTCTACAAAGTGCTTAATAAAGCTCTCCGTGAGCAGAATCGGGAGGCTATTCAACTGCTTCATTTCTTTATCTACGATTTGGATCGACAACTAAAGAGTGAATTCAGAGCGACAAAACAAGATTGGTTGAAAGCCGATACCGTGCGTCTGTATCGTGGACAACTGATGTCATTGGAGGAACTACAACAGCTCCAGAAAAATAAGGGAGAAGAGCTATTTCTCAACAGTTTTCTTTCGACAACAACCGATCTTGCTGTTGCGAATATATTCTCAGGTGCAGGCAACTATAATTGTGATAATCCGACGCAGTCGATTATTTTTCACATTGAATGGGTAGATTCTAAGCCTAAGACAGGTCTTGCTGATATTCGTCGTCTGAGTTTCAATGGAGATGAAGGCGAAATTCTTCTTTCTCCAACTCACACCGTCAGTTTTCTTGATTGCGTCTATGATGAAAAAGAACGCGTATGGAATGCAACATTTAGCCATCTTCGCCCAGTGGATGATCCCTTCATTCGAATCAGCAATGATGAACGTCTCATGAGACTGGAACTCACACTGTGTTATCTTGTCGAAGAAAAAGATCCATCGAGTAATGATATGACGGAAATATCCGACTCCTCTTCTGATTCGGATAATAGCGAGCACAAATTCACAAGGAAATTCTGTGCAACATTTGTCGAACATGTGCCTGTTCTGCTACACGAACTAGAACTTCCAGAATTGTGTAGCGTTACATTACCTGGTGGCAACCCTAATCGTTTTGAACTAAAAACACTTCAATCATTCACCGCCGATTCACTCGATCATGGACCCAAAATTCACGACACAATGGTGGTCACCCTATACGATGCATTAGGTACGCTGTTCAAGACGAAAGGAAAGTTCATGGAAGCTTACTTTTACTATCAAAAAGCGTCCATGTACGACGAGCCTCAATCGCAAACATCGTACACGAGACAGGTGAGTTCTCTTAGAAAGCATTTCGGAACGCACTGTTTCTTAGTGTACCTGTAAAATATACAAACGGCAAAAAATGACTAAATAAAGCTCAACACTGATAAAATAATTGTGAGTTTTTTTCACTACCTCCATTCTGATAACCCCACGGGAAAGATAAAATCAACAACAATATTTATTATCTAAAAAAAAATCCATTATGATCCGCCTACCTTACACAGCGAAGCGTGTCTTTCAAATCTTTTTCTTTACTAGCTTCAAACATTTCTCACATAATTTTATACACCCTATGTCAATAATTTGGTTCTATGCTGTTGTTGCAAATGATATTTTGTGAAATTATTTTTCTAGGCTCATTTGGCACAGCTTCACAAAATCAATGGTGACTATGAACTTGCCTGGAACATTTTCGATGAACTAATGGATCAAACGGGCGATGAAGACAACTTCCTCTACGAGGATATTGCATTTGCTCGAGCCAATCATATGTCTGAACAAACGATTCTTCAGAATTCCCGTGCATTTCTTCAATATTGTTGTACGTTCGGTGACGATGAAACGAAGCTATTCATTGACGAGAGAATTTCATATATTATTGATGCATGGGCTGAACTGGGCTACAGATATTTTTACCAGTACCATGATACCGAACAAGCTTTACTCTGCTACCAGCGTGAAAAAGAACTATCAATAGCATCGTCCGAGTCAAAATCGTTTTATTTTAATCCTTTACTTGGATCTTCGGCGGAGAGAATGGCTGATGTTTATGCATCAAACAATGACATAGAAAAGGCGTTAACTCTCTATAAAGAAGCTCTTGATTTGTCAAAACGTGATACATTTGCTATCAATGCGATGACAGCAGCAAGATGCATGTGCAAAATTGGGCGTTATAGTATTAAATATGATCCAGAAAACTTTCATCTTGCTTTTCAGCATCTTATACAGGGCTATGGAAAACCCTATTGTCGGGATACGATTGGAAAGTGTTACGTTTGCTTATCACGAAGTCTTCAGCGCTGTGAACGATATGAACAAGCTGCAAAATATGCTAAACAAGCCCTATCTATCTTTCTGCCTGATCCACTTTTAGTCGAGCGATTAATTGATGATTGTTGCCAGTTATTAGTTGAATTGTATCGCTTCATCAAGAGTGATAGCAATAACGTACCGACAAAATATGAACTTCTCAACGATCGCGTATCTCTGAATGACGAAGAGATCAAAAATATGTTGCAAACGACATTAGACGAACTAAAAAACTAGTTAGAGAATAAATGAACGGAAACGGCAAAGATGAACTCTCGTATTTTGTGAAACACGATCAAAAGGAGAGTGTCGAAGGGTATAGGGGTAGAAGTTTGGATCCACTACTTCCCATTCCCTCCTCACAGATTGTGACTGGCATGTCACAGACCGTAACCGACATAGCACCATAGACCATCACAGATCGTGTTATAGCGAGGGTGAGAAACAACTTTCAGCGTTTGCCGAGTTTCATTTGTCTGTGCGATGAAATAAAAAAATTTACACTCATATATCATTTGTTTTTTTTCCATTACACGACGAAATCTCCTATGACTAATTGCCCTAGCACCGATCCAAGGGGGAAAGTACAGACACCCAGCACCTACCAGCACCTACCAGCACCTATACCGCCTTCCACTATGAGCACCTACGGCACCTTCAGCACCTTCAACCATTGTTCCATTATCTTAAGTCCTTTTTCAGCACCTTGTGATAAAATTTAGTGTTTAGGCTCTGCCATTTAAATCTTATTGCAAGGTGCTGAAAAAGGACTTAAGATAATGGAACAATGGTTGAAGGTGCTGAAGGTGCCGTAGGTGCTCATAGTGAAAGGTGGTATAGGTGCTGGTAGGTGCTGGGTGCCTGCGCTTACCCCCTTGCACCGATCGAAGTGAGCAATAGAAATTTGATCTGCACTCCGCCATCAAATGATAGTGTTCATTTTTATTAGATTTTTTTCTTTCTCTGTATGACGATGCATTTTACATCCAATCTATTCGCTTTTTTTCTTTTGATGAACAAAAATAAGCATCTTCGTGAGCAAATAAAACAGAATATCTTATTTGAAATTATTTTTCTCTCTGAATGATTTTCGAAATACTGTTATCGATTGCTTTGATTCTCTCTTCCTAAATGAAAATTTATGAAAGAAACCTCACGAAGAAATTTGTTAATTTAGAGCATTGAAAAGTATACTATCAGTAGTAGAATGAACCTGTATTTTTGGATAATTGGCATCTTTCTGCGATTTCCAGGAAAAAATAATGGATGAAGTTGTTAACAAAAGAGTCCAACATATATGCGCCATACATCGATCAATGGTGTCATGAAGTATGAAAGAGCGAAAATCAGATTCGAGGCTTCATACTATGATTGATTTCAGTGTTGATATGAAATGAAATCAGTGTATCAATAATACGATCATTTTCGAATTAAATTAATGCTATGTGGATAGTCTGCTATTTGGTCTTCTATTTTATATCAGTGCAAGGAAGTCATTTCGATGGTGGAACTTGAGGGTGTGAGTGTGTGAGTGTGTGATGTGGCTGTGGCTGTGGCTGTGGGATGTAGGTGTGGTTGTGGGTGTAGATGTGGTTATGTGGAGGAACAACCACACACACCCACATCCACATCGAAATACGCCAATAAAACTTCTTAATATAGACAGATGAAAATATTTGTTAATGAATGATCGTATACTTTGTTTCTCTTCATGAAGATTTTTCAAGTTTCGCATCGTACCTACCCGAATAAAGACATAAGCATGTACAATTGAATCACTTGCCACTATGAGATATACTAATTAACTAAATGCTGTCAAATATAATAAACTAATGATGCACACAGATTTTGTTTCAAACATTCTATGACAGTGGATCTTTTTGAATAAGAAATCATGTTTTATTTATATTTAAATAAAAAAACAAAAACAAAGAATTATTGGATTCTACTCTGTAACAGATTTAATCGTTTCTCTTGATATTCTCTATTATGGTCACATGCATATTCCCATTGAATTAGTGTAATATCAGCTGAACTATGTTTACCTCGTTTACATCCACTCATCATACCCGATGCTAGTACAGTCTGATTACAACAAATATATTTAAAACGTTGTTTTTTACGTTCAATATGTTCCTTTTGTTCGGATGTCATGGCATTTGTTGTTGACTGATTGATAGCTTCTGCTTCTTCTTTAAGTAATTGTGCTATTGCAGCTTGTTGACCCCATTGTGTAAGTGTTAGTGAAAGATTATCGTAAACAAATCCATCATGATGTACACAAACACCCATTTTATTATCTTGTTCAAGATAATAATCATTACATTGAACACATTTAATAGGTTGATCAGCACGATGCATTTCAGCTTCTTCTTTTTCGATTTCACTTATTGAACGTGTAAATGCAACATCATCACAAAATTGACGTAGAAGAAATGGATCACATATGACCATAACAGACCATTTTTCTTCATTAACAACTGTATCTTTATGTATACCATTATTGTTATTAGATGTTGATGTTTGAATATAAGCACTTTTAAATTTATCTTTAACATATGTGTAGACATTATGATTAATTAAAGATAGATTTGTTGATCGACCCATCGATGAATTACCTTCACTTTTATTAACACCAATCAATGAATCTAAATCATAGACGATCATTGAACGACGATAAGCAGCACATTCATCAAGACGTTCTTTCAGAATTTCAAATTTTTCTTTTTCATCATAGGCACTTTCTGCCGATAGTAGATTGAGATCAATTAGTTGTAATAATTGAACATTACGTGATTTTCCATAGACAGTCAAACGTTCAAGTAATTCTTGTATATTCGTTTCTGAACCAGTTAAAAATTCTTGATGGACTACTTTTTCACGTTCACCAGTAATTGGATGTATATTTATAGCTTCAACATCAATCCGTCGAACATCTAAATTAACAATAATTTTGCCAGTATATACAGAATTTGTTTTGTTTGGTAAATCATTAAATCTTGATATCGACTTCTGATTGTTTTCAAACGAATGATTATTATCAGCACGCAATAGTAGAGTCGGTAATGTTTCCGAACCGATTACAATACGATATTGTCGAGCAGTAGTATCAGCTAATTGAAGCATAGTACGATAATCTAGTTGATATTGTGGATTGATGCGTTGCATATCGATACAATGAACTGTAATCAAACGACGAAGAGCTCTATTAAAAACAAAAACAAAATTGTCTATCGATCTTTGAGTAGTAGTCATGTAACAAAAAAAAATGATACTGATGCATTTTTCTACTGTTTCTTTTTATTCCTATACATATCGTTAGTCTATACTAAGTGTTGTCCAATTCGATCATTTTTCCAAATACGATTTATCATTCCTGCCTATAACTTCATCTTCTTTTCTTTTAATAAGCTTCAGAAAACGAAGAAAATCTTTTTATCGAACATTTGCACTATTAGAAGAATATTTTGTTATGCGTGAGAATCATTTAATTGACTAACCTAAGTGCAGCTCCACTGAAATTGGTTGTAGCCATAGTTAAACTTTCGAGTAAACTTGGTGAAATATGCCAAGATTTTATTCCACTAAGAATATTCTTTCTAGCATGAGATGAAGGTCGTCCAACGAAAAATTTGCCTGACATACGTCGTAGAAATGCTTCATCCATCATATGTAAACGATTTGTTGCACAGAATATCATCAAATTTGGTACATCTTTTATTCCATCAATTACCGATAAAAGTACACTTAATTTAGCAATATTTCCATCACTTGAATTATCTTTACGTTTTGGTGCAAGTGAATCGATTTCATCGATTGATACGCAACACATAAGATAGGGTATTCGATGACAACGCATACAAATATCAGATATGATTCGTTCTGATTCACCTACAAGAGGTCGATTGAGTTCACCGGCTGCTATGGGAGGTGCAACCATACATACACCCATACGTGTTGAGAGTTTACTCATAATATCTGACTTACCAGTACCTACAAATAAACTTTGTGTAAATGTTTATCATAAAACCATGAAGATTTTCTCAAAAATTGAGAACTTTTCGAATTGAACTTACCCGGTGGTCCATACATAATGAATCCTCTGTTTGGTTTGATTAAATCTCGATCAGTGTTCTTGCTACTTTTATCATCTTGTCTAATCAAACCTATTTGAATGTTTTCGATTAAATCTTCAGTAGTTTGCATTTGTGTACGCAGTTCATTTCTTTCGTGTTCCAATTGTTCCATTCTTTTTCGATGTTCATTCAATAATTCGACTACTGAAAATCCTTCATACTTTTCTCCATTATGTTCTTCTGATATTTGTCTCTTCAAATGAATTTCTTTTCTTAGTTTTCTAATTGAATCATCATGTCGATAATATTCGTCTTCTTTTTCAGTAAGTTCATCAACTAAACGTTGTTGTTTCTCAAGTAATTGCTCACGTTCACGCAAACGATCTCGCAACAAATTTTGCCATTGTACATCATTAATAGTTAAATCGTGCTCAATCATAGTGAGTGGAAGAAAGAAGACTTTCATTTGATCAAAAAGACCGTCGTCAGCAAAACCATCTCGACGCATTTCATCGAATGATAAATGAACACAACGAGCATCTAATTTAACCGGTGTTGGAATTCCAACAGAAGCAAATTCATCAGCAAGTATATAATGGAAGTATAATTTTATTTGATGAATACAAGCAAGTAATTCCGATTCTGATTCTATACATTGGAAGAAATATGAGTAGGTTTGATTCTATTAGTTAGATATATTTATTGACTTTCGGAGTTAGATCTTGTTGTGAGAAGAGGAAATTAGGCTTTTTAATAAACAGCTGATACACAGCTGAAAAATAATTTTCAAGTTTATAGGATGGTCTACTCAATTTTAGTCCTTCTCTTTACTTATTTTTGCATTAAACTCAGCTATAATTCCTCAATTTCAATGGTGACCCATAAATAAATTCATTTTGATAAGAAACTTCACTTACGAATTTTGCCAGATTTTTTCCTCGAATTGTCTGATTTTGCTGGTGCACTGGATTTGGCATCGCTGGCCATTTGTTTTTCATGATCTATATAGGATTTAAGAATTTTTTTTCCATTAATAGATAATACTTTCAATTCATTCCATTCTGCATATTTTAAATTAGCCAAATGATCATATGTAAATATGTCATCAGCACGTAAAGCATCAAGCCATTTAGCAGCCATTCCATTGTTTTCTTTTTCACAAACATCTTCAACAAATCGTTCCAATGAGACAGTACTTGGTCGATCGATATTTCTTATTGTTTTTTCATTTTCGTAATCATCTCGTTTTTGTTTTCCTGCTAATTCGATTGTATAAAAAATTTGTGCATCTGCTGCTAATTTCCAACGACGTGGAAATTGTTTTTCATCTGGAATAAGATTCAATTCAAATAGGCCACGTAATTGATCGAAATACCAAGTATCAAATTCATCAACTAATGTTATTGACTCTATTAATGGAAGTTTACTGAGTGGTCGTCCAACATCGATCGAATCACCACGAGCAAGTAATTGAGAACGTATAAATACATCAAGTGTACAGCCAGAATTTAGATATGCACGAACTAGATTATCAGAGGATAGTGCTTCGAATTTCTCTTGTGATCTATAATTAAATAATTTTTTTTAAGACAAATTTTCTTTCGTTCTACTATCTACCTTCGTTTTGATGTTATTTCAGTAAGTGGAGATAGTAAAAAGTTCTGAATGAATTCGATTACAACTGTATCATTTTGTTTAACAAGAATCTGACAAATAATCTTTGTTAATGAGACAGTAACAATAGGCAATGTTGAAGATTGGATTACAAGTTTTGCATTCGATTGAGTTGTTTTTCTAGCATTCCGTCTTTCGACTATTATAAAGTCAATGTATTTGCCTAGAATCGCTTCACATGCAACATCCAAACTACTACATGAAACACATAGGTTTAAATGATCAAGATTGATAGGATCGTCAACGAGCATAAATTTTTCAGCAATCATTTTGAGTGGATCATTATGATTATCGGTTGTCGTTGTTGTAGCCTTCGGTAAAGTTTTAACCACTGCTACATAATCTGAACGAAGCTGTTCAAGACGTGTACGATCAATTGTTGTTATTGATTCAGATACATTAAGAAATGTAAATACAGACTGACGATTGAATGCCATACACAAAGTTTATTCTATCTGTAAATATAAAATAAGAAGATCATTTTTTGTAATAAGAAATATTTTCTCTACGTTCAGAGTTTTGAAATGAAAATGAACTATATTCATGTAGAGTAATTTTTAAACATATTTTTCTTTTACATAATCATTAAAGCAAAATATTTAATTTAAAATTCAATATTCTTCCTTTTTGAATGTCTTCATCTTTTATATTTTATTCAAATCTAATGCTAATTTTACTTTTTTTTAACTTTTAAAAAAACACACAGATAAGAGTAAAAATTAAGCGAATAAATAAAATAAATCAAAAGAATTAAATATATATTAAAAAATAAATATAATTATGAAGATGTCATGTTTCAATGTACGAAGTTGTCTTTGTCAGACGTTTTGGTGTATGTTGTTTTTTTTATTTTCTATTATTTTAGATTTTCTTTTTCGTAAATTTTAAACATATGATAGTGGAACAGAAAGATAGTAATACTAGCAGGATAGGTCGCTTATTTTTCTTCCACAGCCCCACTAACATATGTTTAATATTAAAGAAAAAGAAAATATACAACAAAGCATCTAGCAAAGGCAATTTCATATGCCGAAACGTCACATCTTCATCATTATATTTAATTCTTTTGATTTATTTTAATGTCTTTTTTTTTATTATAATAATTTTTACTTTTGCCTATGTGATTTTTTAAAAGTTAAAAATAATAAAATTAGCATTAAATTTAAATTAAATATAAAAGATGAAGAATTGAATTTCAAATTAAACATTAAAATGACTTTTTCAATTACTCGTAATGAATTAAAGCAAAACATTACTCTTCCGTTATATACAGAATCTTTCAAAATCATATATCATTTTCAAATATTCTTACCACCTGTATTCCAAGGATAGATTAAAATAGAAATGAAAAAAAAAGAACAGATAAATCACTATGTGAATATATTTGCGAACTATATATGTAGTGGAGTATGGAGATATTTTTCTTCTTCTTTCGTTTCAGTCGTTGACTATGATTCATAGGAGCAAACCAGAGCTTTGTTAAGAGTATTTTTTATCATGTCATTGACATGACGTCATGCAATACTCATCATATTGACTCAGTATTCTTATTCATCCGTTCTCGATGCTACTATAAAACTAAAAAATTGTGATAGTGAGGAACTTATTTTCACAATGGCAACTAATTATAATGCTGTAGATGAACAACGTATTTTGCAAGAAGCTAATATACGTCGATTGCGTGAACTTGAGTTAAGTCGATTGAGTGAAGCTGATGAACAAATTGCTCGACAAGAATTAGCTAAGTTCGACGAGATGCAACGCGAACTTGAAATATTCAATGAAGTCGATCAACAACGTATAATGGAACTTGAAACAGAAATACGTGATATAAATCAAGAAATATATAATGCTGAAAAAGAACTTGAAGAACTTCGAATCGAACAAGAAACACAAGAAAAAAATCTTGAACAAGTTAATAATGAAGTTGCTAAACTAATACAAGAAATAAAACATGTTCAAGAAGAACTACAAAAACTTCGTGAACAAGAACATCAACTTATTGTTGAACGTGACAAATGGCAAGCAACACTTATGGAACAAGAACAAATTCTTAAAGAAGAACAAGCAAAAGTAAATGATCTTCGACAACAAATTATTGTATTAGAAAATGATAAACGTGTATTAGAACAACGACGTGATGAATTAAATATACAATTACAACAAGCTGAAACTGAACGAGTCACTTTAGAACAAGAAATTGTAAAACTTGATAATGAATGTGCACAATTAGAACAACAACTCAATACTTTACAGCAGGAATTAACACAACTTGAACAAATAGTAGAACAACTTGTCCAACAAATAAAACAAACTCAAGAACAGATAGCTAATTGTGAAAAAGAAATAAATGAACACAATGCTCGAATTCAAGAATTAGAAAATGAAAAACAAAAAGTCGAAATTGAAATACAGCGATTACAAGAATCAATTCAACGTATTGAAACTATGATTCAAGATGTAAGTTATACATACAATTGTATCAAATTAAATATTAGAGTTAGTTGCATTTGAATGCATATATCTTTTCAATTGTTCGATTGATAATTTCTATGACACTGATCAGTATACTTGATTTAAGAGAAAAACATTGATTGACAACAATGATTTTCAATGCCATTTTTTGTCTCAAAAAACTATCAATTTCTCTTTTTTTGATTTGAACACTACGAATCATTTTTATTAATACTTAAGTCTATTTCTCATTGTTGGTGGACAAGTCAATAATTTGAAAATATTTTTCTCTTTATTTTCTTTTAATTTATCGTAAACATTTTGTCTATACTAATAAATTGACACCTAGGTAACAAATAAAGAGCGCGAAGTGACGGAACAAATCAATCAAAAAACTCAAGAAAAACAAATGATTGAAAATGAACAGAGAGCTACTGAAGCGGAAGTTCAACAGTTGAAAGCAGTTCTCGAATCACTTAATGAAGAATTGAAAATGTTACAAGAGAGATTGGCTCAATTGACAAATGAAGCCAATCAATTAGAAGAACAAGTTCATCAAGCACAAAATGAACTTCAACAAGCAACGTATGTACTAAAATGTATACTTTGAATGAACTTCTTTATCAGAAAAGATGGACAGTTTTTAAATTGATAAACAATTCAATAGCAAAAATTCGGTTGGATCTAACCCAAAGAAGGTTCGATAAACAATACCCTAATAACGTGACACTTGTTGTTGAAGTTATAATGTCGATAAAAAAACTTGTATCATAGTTATTAAATATTATCTAAATAAAACAATTGTCTTATTGATTGTGTAGTAGAACAAGAGATTTCTCTCAAAGATGCATAAAACATAGGTTCTCATTATGATTTTTTTAAAAAGACATGAAAACTATTTTTTATAAAATTTCTATATGAATTCATCTAGGGAAGCAGTAAAACTTGCTGAAGCAGAAACGGTACGCATTCAAGGAGAACTGGATCAACTTACGCAACAATTACAAGCTAAGCAAGCTGAATTGGCTCAAGGTGAACAAAAGAAAGCTCAACTAGAAGCAATACTTGCTCAAAAACAAACTGAACTTCAACAGATAACCGATACTGTGAATAGACTCGAGCAAGCATTGATGCAAGCCAAAAGTGAACTTGACGCTGCTATTGAATTATATAATCAATATACTGAAACACTTCGGCAAGAGGAAGCAACTGAATTAGAAAAGAAAAATGAGGTTGAAAATCAAGAAACAGCTTTAAAAGAAGCTGAAAATGAGGCCAGTGAATGTGATAGGAAAGAAGGCGAGAAAAAACGAGAATTAGACGAAGCGACGCGCGAAGAAAGAAAAGCACAAGCAGATTTAAATGCAGCTAAAAATCAATTGCAAGCTGCTGAAACAGCACTACATATTGCTGAAATGGCGCTGGCAACAGCATTGGCCTTTCCAATTATTGGTGAAATTGCAGCCATTGGAGCGACGGCTGCTGTTGCAGCAGCTACAGCTGCTACCATTGCTCTACATGTCAAAGTGAATAATGCAGAAACTAAATTGTCTCAATTGTCTATTAAGCGTGAACAAGCCTTTCAATTGCATCAGACAGCACTAGAACAAAAGCGAACAGCACATACGAAAGTTGCCGAAGAGAAGAGAGCACTTCAGACGAAACAAAATGAATTGAAACGGCAAACTGAAACTAAAAATGCTGCTCAACAACAAGTCGAACGTCAGAAACAAGTTGTGAGGAAAGCGACTACTGATCATGCCGAAGTCGAACGTCAATTAGCTGAAGCTAAAGAACAACAAACAATGCAAATGAATGAAGTTCATGAAGCTGAAACACAAGTTAAAAATCAGACAGAACATGTCGAACAGTTAAAACGAGAAGCAGCTGACTTAGAACGACGTCAAACACAAACACAACCAGCACTCGTCGCTGCAGAAAATGAATTGAGAAATGCTCAAATGAAGGAACAAACAGCCGATGCTAATCTGAAAATGATGAACGGACAGCTTACAGCTAAACAACAAGGTGTTCAAGAGCTACAATCCTCAGTTGCTCAAAAGCAACAACAGACTGAAGCAAAACAGACTGAATATGCTGCTAAAGAAGGCGAAGCACAACAAGCTAAAAATAAAGCAACAATCATTGACCAAGATCTAAGATTAGCTAATCAGACGAAAGCAGAATTGGAAGCAGAAAAGAGAGAACAAGAAAATATACTTCGAACGGAACAAAGCAAAAGCCAACAACTCAATGTAGAGCATCAACAACTCAATGTAGAGCATCAACAACTCAAAGCAAAAGTCGAAACAGTTCAACAACAAAAACAACAGTTTAGTCAACAACTACAAGAGTTTAAAAGTCAATTGGATCGACAAAATGGAGATATGACTCAAAAGAGTAATGAAGTAGAGAAAGTCAAAGCTAATTTACACACAAAGGAGCAGCAGAGGAATGAACTCAAGTCACAACGAGATGAGCATATTGTACATGTTGAACGAGTCAAAAGACAAATTCAAGAAAACGAACAAAATTTAAAAGAAAATGACATGAATTTGTCACAGACACTACAAGCCCGACGAGAACGAGAAATTGCCAAACAGGTTAAATATAGAGTTTTTTTTTTTGAAATATTAACGAAAACATTATACTTATTTTTTAGTTAGCAGAACGTCAAGTAGCTGATAGTGAACAACGTCTTCACCAAACAGCTGAACGACTCGAACAATTATCCAATCAAGTTCAAGAGAAACAGCAAATTTATGATGAAAAAAATCGTCGTCACACAGACCTCGCCGCCAATGTAGAGCAACATAAAGCGGCTAAAGAACGTTTGGAATATAATATTCAAGATACATATAATCGATGGACATCAAAACGAATCTGGGCAACAAGTGCAGCAACACATGTTGCTCAACTCGATCAAGAGAGGAACAACATTAAACTAGCCAGTCGACAAGCAGCTGAAACTAATAGAAAGCATCGAAATGAAGCAAACGAAAATAATCGAAATAGAAAAATTCAGCAACAATTTTATCGCCATTGATTATACATCTTTGATGAATTGTGATTTGCTGTTTCATAAATTCACATAGTCAATAAAATCTGTCGTTGTAAATGCATTAAGCCATAAAATAAAAAGACACACTACTTTTTAGGATGTGAGCGTGAGTGTGTCGGCTGGTGAATGTAGACGAGAGAAAGAGAGGATAAAAACTCATACCCACACCCTTCTACATACATCCGTATCCTGTCATTAGTACAATTACATGAACTTCAATTTTTAGTTGCTGATGATTTCCCATGTAATAATCTTATCACAAGAGAATTTCTTAGATAGACTAACTAGATCTCCTTCATACTTGGAAGCCATCAAGATATAATGACCCGACACGACTTCAAACTTCTTTGTCGTCGTTTTGAAAGCAGTCAATGGATCTAAATGGCCAATAACTTCAACTAATCCTTTATCTTGAGCTTTGATCAATGCCTTTTGCAATCCTAGGAGAACATGTGTATAATCATCTGGTGTCAATGTCTCCTTGGCACCATAAATCTGTACGACTACTGAAGAGTCACGATTACTCATGTTCTTCACAGTCACCCTACATAGAAAAGTGCGGGAGTCGAGAATCTCCGGACACACAAAATCTGCAAATTCATGTTGACCATATCCCAAACCAAAACCAAATGGATAAACGGGAGTGTTCTTTTGACGATTAAATAGTAGATAGTCCCACCATCGATCATAAGTCACTTCACGAGCATCTGGATCCCATCTACGAAGATCTTTTTCCGACGCTGGTATAACGAATCCAGAGAGTATACTAGTAAATTTCTCTCGTAGTTCTTTGTCAAGGATGATAGCACTGTTGCAAAACAAGTATGAGAACACTTTTACTGTTCACGCGGGCAACCGCTTTTGCAAGGGCAATATCATGTTCATTTAAGGCTAGGTTGCGACGATCTTCTCCAATTTTAATCTTCATTGCTTTTATCAACCAATTGAGTCCAGAGAGCAGTTTTCGTGTCGGTAAACTACCCGACTAATTTGGTAGAACTTTTTTGTTGACTCCTTCATCGGTACAAATGAAATATTCACCTTCATCACGTCCTGCGTAGCCAACTATAACTACTGTTACATTGGCTGCTTTGGCAGTCTCGATTGCAGTTTGAATATTTGAACCGTCGTTGTAGAGAGTTATGAATGAAGTATCTTGATAAACTGCACTTAGAGGTGATACTATATGAGAATCACAGTCCCATGATGAACCCCAATCACCAGTTTGTTGGGAATTAGCTAGCTTTCCAATAGCTACCACTTTTTGATATTTGCTCTATCAAGAGGCATCAGAGAAGGTTCTTGCAGTGAATGAGTATCATTCTTGAGGACAACTATTGATGCAGTTGCAACTTACCGTGCAAGATGTCTATGATCAATACAACCTACGACACTGATAGAAGGTGTTGGCTGATTTGCGGGTATGCGTGTGAGATGTGGGTGAGTGTCGATTCGTATCGATTCTTTTAACATTTGATTCCACCCACACCCACACCCCACACCTCACATCTACACACAGACTAGTTCACCATCTATCTTTTAAAACTTTCTTTCAAAAACATAAACCGTAATATAATTCAAGAAGGAGACTACATTCGCATCTGAAAAGCAGTAATCGTAGTCGTAGTGAAATATCGAGATATAAAAATGTATATTGCAAGGATTTGAGCTTACTTTTATTTTACAGTCATCGTAATTCATTAATTGATTGATGAGTACTGTTAGCGTCAATAGAGGTCACTCTATTACCGCTAACTTTTCAGTTG